GGGCGGGGAGGAGGGCGGGGAGGAGGGGGGGGAGGAGGGCGAGGAGGAGGGGGGGCCCCTCTGCAGTAAGTGCCACCACTCGCTGCGTATTCCCTTAGGTCTTTTCTCTAAGTTGCTGCTATTGCTGCTGCTGCTTTTGCTGTCAGTCATGTTGATACTATTGCTGCTGCTGTTGCTACTGCTGCTATTGCCATCACTGTTGCTGCGGCTGTTTCCTTCTTTCCCTGGCCCCCTTCTTTCCTAAACCCCGTAAGGCCCTTTTACGTGTTTCCAGGCTGGACGATACCATCCGTGCCGCCCGTGTGCTGGGTTTGCGATTCCACCCTGTCCGGGGGGGTATGAGTGCGGGGGTCAGTCGAGGGGGCATTGCCCCGGACTCGGTGGTGGAGCTGGAGACTGACATACTTGACGACATGCGGAGGTGCATTCGGGAGTTCCATGATAACTCCAGGTGGGGCGGGGAGGGGAGGGTGGGGGGAGGAGAGCGGGAGAGAGGGGAGCGCTTGAGGGGGCACGGGCGGCCGGGGGGAGTAAACCAACCGCCGCCATGCAAATCAAACTACTGGACTAAACTAAACAAGGCTAGACATGACACATATTTGGACAGCCCTTGGCTGACCGGCCTCGTGTGTATGGGGCCCCTTGGTTACCCGTTTGGGGGTTAATCCAGCCCCACGCGGTGGTGTTAACACACGAAAACATGTATTTATATTATATGTGTATGCAATATTCTTAATGTATTTCCCCTCTACCCCCCTTCTTTCCCCCCCCCCCCACACACACGTACACCCCAACCCCCCTGCGGCCCGATCATCATCATCATCTCAGGCTCTCCATGTTACGCGTGTCGCTGGGTCCAGCCTCCCAGAAGACCGTCACCAATGAGCTGATGCTCTCCGCGGCCCGCCTGGCCAGGGAGCACCCGGGGGTGCGGCTGCACACGCACCTGGCGGAGAACCAGGTACTGCTTGAGCGTGCTTGGGGAGGGAGGAGGGGAGGTGCTGTACTGCACTGCACTGCACCGTACTGCGCTTTAAACTACATCCTTGTTCCTGTACGTTATGGCAGGAGGACATTGAGTATACGGAGCGGTTGTACGGCTACCGTTTTGGGCCGTACATAAGCACCGTGGAGTGGGACAAGTGCGACTGCTGGTTTGCTCACTGTGTCAAGGTATCGGGGTTTGAAATCCCTCAAGAGGATGGGGGGTTGTGTTTGTATGTCTGTATGTGTGTTCGCGTTTTTGTATTCAAGCTGTGTGTTTGTGTATAACTTTTGTTCTTTATAACCCTTTCATATCTTAGCTGGCGGGAAATAGGCAATAATGCAACACTATAAGTTTAAACCTCCATCCCTTAATTTCTGATTCGCGGCGGCTCATTTTCTGTGCGTACTGGGCCTTATGACGTCCTGTGCCTTAGTTTGTATTACTACTTAGGGAATATTTATCTCTAGTTGGTACGGCACAGGTACGGCATCGTGCTTGCTTGTCCTGCCGTTCAACCTCTCTCTCTATTCTGCAGATCTTCTGTTCACCCCTTCACCTCACCGTACGATTTCAGTCGTACACGTCGTATGATGCACAACCAACTGAAACCCATGCCCGCACCCAAAAGCTTTTTCCCCGACCAACCTACAACCAACCAACTAACCGAAACAACTACCAGTTGAACGAGTCTGAGCGGGCGCTATTTGCCGAGCGGGGTATTGGGGTGGCGCACTGCCCCTCCTCCAACACCCGCCTCGCATCCGGCATTGCACCTGTCAGGTAGGCGTGTGTGGGGTGTGTGTGTGTGGTGTGTGTGTTACATGGTTGGGGGGTGCGTGACCCCGTACCTGTAAAACTACCCATACGAGCCGAAGGCCCAAGGGCAGGTGGATGTGGGCAGGTGAGGTGGGCTCATCAGGGATTGGATGTAAGTGGTGGTAAGGGGTGTGTGGGAGCTGGCGGAGAGGTGAAATGTGTGGAAGTCCTGACTTCGGGGTGACGGCAACCCTACCAGGCACTGATTCCTTTGTGTGCTGTCTAAGGTAAATCCCTGGGAAATCCTAAAAGTTTAAAAGTCGCTCTAACAGGTCCCACCCATTCACCGCCCGGTTGCTGTCCGCTGCTGCAGGGCTATGCTGGATGCGGGTGTGAATGTGGGTCTGGGGGTGGACGGGGCATGCAGCTCGGATGCGCAGAGCCTGCTCGCGGAGGCGAGGTTGGCGGTGCTGCTTCAGCGGGCAGGGGGGGATCCCCGGGGCTTGGGAGTCAGGTGCGGGTTTGGCGGGGGGTGCGAGTGGGGGGTGCGAGTGGGGGGTGCGAGTGGGGGTTGGGCGGAAGGATGGACGCGGGAGCTTTTAGCGTTTTGGAGGATGGATGGGTGTGATGCGGTGTGGTGGTGAGGCCCACTGTATGAGGCAGGAAAAGTACGGACCTCTCATAACACCCTATTTAAGAGGAAAGCAGATGCATAAAAGCCTGTTTGTCACCTGTCTGTCTGTCTGTCTGCCACTCTGTTGTCATGTCTGTACACATCTTTTTGACCTCTCAAACCACCCAAGTCCATTGTCCACATGTTCTCCAATACCCTTCCCGGGTTCCTCCCTTTCCCCCCCGCTCTCCAGGGAGGCTCTTCGGATGGCCACTCGCGGGGGGGCCGCCAACTTGGGTCGGCAGCAGGAGGTGGGGCAGCTGGCTCCGGGCTTCGCAGCGGATGTAGTGGGCTTCAAGGTGGCTGGGAAGCTGGCGTTTGCGGGCACAGGTACGAGGTAATAGTTGACGGACTCAGACGGGTGTTTTTAAATTTTAAATCTTTTATTTGAAATAATAATTATGAATATTTATACACCTGACGCTCAGATTAAAGATCTGGGTCATCCAGTTAGGTGATGTGATGTGATGGTGAGGTGAGGTGATGGTGCGGTCTAGACAGACGATTCCAACTTATCGCGAATGGCCGTTGTTGTGATGCAGCTGTCGGTTGATTAGCCGTTGACCTCGTTGACCGGTTTTCCACGTGTGTTCCATTCGCTTGTCTTGTCTAACACAGTTGCGGACCCAGTGGCTGCGCTGCTGCTGTGTGCTCCGGATGCGGGCCCAGTCAACTGGTCTATCATTGACGGTCACGTGGTTGTACGGGAGGGTGTACTGCTGGCGGCGGACGGCAACCTCTGGGTACGGCATGAGGCGGCCGCTGCTGTCACCGGGACTGCCGCCGTCAGCGACGACAATGTCGGCGAGGGTGGAGACGGAGCAGCAACAGCAGCAGCAGCAACAACAGGGGTGGTTGGGGAGGGGAAGGGAGGGGTGGTTGGGGAGGGGAAGGGAGGGGTGGTTGGGGAGGGGAAGGGCGGGGTGGTTGGGGAGGTGGTTCCCTTCGACGTAGCGGCACTGCTGGCGGAGGCTGAGCGGTACTCTCGTGCGCTGGTGGCGGGGGTCCCGGAAACGGCACTGGGCAGGATGTAAGGGGGGGTAGGAGAGAGAAGAAGAGAGTGGGGGAGCACAGGGGGAAGGGACACACGGGCAGATCGGGCGGGGGGTTAAGGGGAAGTACAAACTGGTGTACGACGGTGTATGTATATATGTATATATGTCAACTGTTGTGTGTGCGTGTGTGTGTGTGTGCATGGATGTTATACGATGTGTGGGACATGGGTGTCATATCTTCACCCTGCAGCCGCTAACTACCCGGTATTTCGGGGCACCCTCATCTAGTCACCCTAGTCAACTTCTCAGTGGAGGTTCCGCACCCACCACCGGCATCCAACAGAATCTGCCGGATCAACGGCGGCTCAACTCCATTCCTGGTCGGCTCGCAGGTTAATTTTATCCCAGGTCACCACCGTTCATCGACTGTGGCCACTTTTACCTCACACCATAGTAAGGATTTTCGACCCTGACAGGTCTCGATCCCGGAACCTCCGGGGGAATGTACCAGGTGATGCATATATCACCTCGTGTATGTGTGTGTGTGTGCATTTATATGTATATGTATCATCTGTTGTGTTAATGTGTGCATGTGTATGCATGTGTGCTGGTGGTTGGATGCTGGTGGTGAGTTGCTGAATCCAACGAATACATTCTGAAGTCGGATGGGTTGAACGGATTAGGGTGCCCCTCTAGCAGGGGAGATCAGGGAATTGCCTCGGGAAAGCGAGCCGTTGGTGAAGCTATACCACCCTGTAACAACATATATGGTCACCACACATACACAATGAGCAGGCCGATCAACGTGCAGGGATATGTAAATTGCATATAATGCATTGACCGTGACATATGTGTGAACATGGCATCATCAGACAGCCGGCACTTGACTGATGGCGCAACAGGTAAAATCCACGTTTGCATTTCCAAAGACACAGCTGCTGCGGCTGCTACGGTTCGCCTCAGGCTGGCTCTTCTGGCTACTGCACTAGTAGAACGCCGCGGGTGGTGACATGTGAGCGCCGCGGCTACTAGTTTAGTGGACACAGCGCGCCTGGCTACTGCACTAGTAGAACGCCGCGGGTGGTGACATGTGAGCGCCGTGGCTACTAGCTTAGTGGACACAGCGCGCCTGGCTACTGCACTAGTAGAACGCCGCGGGTGGTGACATGTGAGCGCCGTGGCTACTAGCTTAGTGGACACAGCGCGCCTGGCTACTGCACTAGTAGAACGCCGCAGGTGGTGACATGTGAGCGCCGCGGCTACTAGCTTAGTGGACACAGCGCGCCTGGCTACTGCTGTTGCAATGCAGTTGTACGTAAAGGATCTGTTATTCTAGTTGCCACTTCGAGCCAGTAGGTACCCTGGGAGGCGTATCCCTTCGCTGTCATCACAGCGCAGATTGCAGGAAACCCCGGTTTTCTTCGCCAGCTCAGAAAACCTATACGTTTGATACGGATGGGCGACTGTGGCATTCCGGTTCCTAGCAGCTATAAAGTATGGTATTTGGATCGGCATGCCACCCTTGTTAGTGTCGGATGATCGTAAGGTTGATTGGCTTGCAAACAGGCCAATCCCGTAGGGTCCAGTCTTATCCGAGTTTAGGCCGCAGCTTGTGGCTGCATGGGCTCAGACGAGGCTGAACAAGGCCCCATCGGATTTCCCGTCGGATGGGAAGCACCCGGGGGTCATGATGGCCAAATACGCGCATTGGATGGGTCTGCCATTCGAAAAATCGGCGGGGCTGCCTGGCTTCGCATATCCGCGAGCAGATGTGCATCATTCATTGAGAACGTGCTGTGGGCCCCTAGCGGCGAATCGTGCCTAAGCAGGAAAGCCCCGGGAGCAGCGGATCTGTGTGAGCCCAGATAAAGAGTATTCAGGGAGATGCCAGGGGAACTGAACCTTTTTTACATTCCTCCCCGAATATCCCTGGGCGGCCCCCGGCCCATCCCGTAGGAGTAAACAACTTCGTCCGTCTGCGTCCAAGATGGAAGACGTAATCCTTTCCGGTTGATAGAGTTTCACCCTCCCGAGCATCCTTCTTTGGGCAAGGGCATCATGTTTAGCGTGCGTCATGTTCACAACCGGAATCGGACCAGAAAGGGCTGGCCTTCTGGCAGCTAGCGCCAATATAAGAACAGAGAAATTATTTTCTCAGTAACCACTTGGTCACTAGTAACCACTTTCGAAAGTACCAAAGCTACTTGTCACCTTCCGAAGAGGAGACGGGGCGAGGACAGGTAGAGCAGCGGTCGGTTGCGTGTTTGGCCAACAGGCCGTGTAGGAAGTGCTGAAAAGGGAAGCGCCCGGTGGTACGAGGGATACAAAAATCATGGAGATGGACAAGAGGTTTAATGGAATAAGAAGGATTGCAGCGGCGCCGAAGAGGACGTATCCAGAAGTGTGTGTGGAAAGGAAGATTTAAAGAAGACGCGGTACAAGGCATTCAGGCGAATTCCATGGCAACAAGTAAAAGGAAGGAAACAAGGAGGCAATCAGGCGAGAACACGGCACCCAGGTTCCCAGTCTCCAAGTCTCCCAGCTTCCCAGGAAACCGGGCAAGCAGGCACCCAACCTTTTCACAAGGCCATGGAAAGGAAAGCGAAGCCGGATTGTATTTGCTGGCCTGTGGGAAGGCGCAGCACGAATGAAGCAGACATGCATTGAAGCGATAACTGGAGGTACAATACGTCCAGTCCCGGACGCCCTATGGCATAAAACGGGGTTTAACCCCCCCTTAAGCGTAACCCAGGGGTGGGGGGGGTAGGGGTAGGGGTTACCCATGTGGCTATGTACGAAGGGAGGTGGGTAACCTAACCCCGGGGTAGGGGTAACCCCTTACCGAGGCGTAAAAGGGGTCGGGGTAATACACTACTGATAACAGACAGGGTAACCCATGTTTACAAATGTGCCTCGACTGAAGCATTCATCCGCGCCTGTGTCGCCTGCCTACACACGCAAACATATATGTCCACATATATGGAGTTGGGCCGCTGTCGACCCGGCAGATTCCGTTGGATGCTGGTGGTGGGTGCGGAACCTGAGCGATCCACTGAGAAGTTGACAAGGGTGACTGGATGAGGGTGCCCCGAAATACCGGGGAAGGCAGGGTTTCGCAGGATAGCTGCCGCGGGTGAAGATATACCCCCCTGTTTCACACATCATGTATGTCCACCAATCACTTGTGAATGTTCAATTGTCAACATAGCCGCACCATAACATGCCTTGTTTTGAAACCTAAACCTAAGGATAAGGCGCACAGCTGCAGCCTAGATGCAAGGAGGCGGACGAACAGGCGTACATAGGCAGAGCGCATTGGTGACCACAAGAAGCCGCAAGCGAAGCCAATAAATATACACATCATAAGATCCAGGCACTTACCGCCGTTCCGGACCCAAGGCCTAAAACTTGCGGACCAGCCAACGGCGACAATGTAAGTTCGGCCAATAGCTTAAGTGGCCCCTCCTACATGCCAGACAGTGTGAGCGAGTACGCTCGCCTGGCGAAGCTAGCCGACACTGGTGCCAGGTTCAGTGGAGGCTGAGCGGATCTTCTGGACCATGAGCTACATCAAGAGCAAGCAGCGGAACCGCCTGCAGCAGCCACACCTCAGCGCAGCTGTACGGCTGAAGATCCAGTCGTGGTTCACAGTCTCGAGCTTTCCATACAAAGCAGCACTGCAGCACTGGAACGAGTCGGCTGCCTATTGTTGGGCAGACCACGGGCAGTGAGAGGTTGGCGCTAGCATGAAGTCAGAAACTTGACGTGTCGTGCGCTGCTTAAGAAGTAGCCATGGTTTGGGTTCTATCTGTACATACGTCCGGCCAAATATTTGATTCCGGCCAAATAAAGTTTTTTAAATTAATCTTTCATCTGTACATATATCCGTGTAAATAAACAAATCAATATATAAGCGTCGTCTTGGCCGTTCAAAGGGGAAAAATTACTCGCTGGGGAAACACTTGGGTTACCAAGGAAACCCCCCACAGTGACCACTTGGTCACTTAAAAAATTATCATCGGCGAAAAAGTTTAAAAACACTGCCTTAAGGTTGAAATGCCGAACGATGCTTCCTGAGATACCACGATACTGTAGGTTGCTAACGTTTACATTTTAAAGTATCCTTAAGCGGAATTTACGATGTGGGAAGCAAATAAGACAAGTAGCCTATAGGCCCATGTCCATAGTCCAGGGCAACGGAGGGGGTTACCCTGGGGCCGTGTTACCCCTCCCACTGGGTATGACCTTACAAGGGGGTTACCAATGGGCTACGGGGGGTTGAAGGTGGGTAACCCATGGGTTACCGACCCAATCAGTGCCATATTGACGGTGCAACATTTGGGGTGGATGCTGTCCTCAAGCGCGACGGGAAGCTTCGTTTGCCAGTCAGGTTTGAAACAACGGATGCGGCGTCATGTGCCATGTTATTCGTGTGCGGGTAGAAGTATCGCTCGGTAGGGTTACGGAGGGTTGTTGCCCAGCTGATATGACACGCATATTCTGAGTATTGGGACCGTGTAGTTGATGCCGAAATTAATTGGGCGCTTTTGGCACATGTGCATGAACATGGCATCAACCATGCGGTGCACCTTGTCTGAGGCTGGCTTAGCAGAACAATGCCAGGACATTCTCACGACACCTGTATACGAAAGACATTGCGGGGAAGCCAACTTACGCGCAACATTCAGGGTTTCGAAATACAAACTGGAACACTTGGGTATGGGTCCGGATACAGGATACCAAGGTCAGGGTGCAATGTTTATCCAGCAGAGTCCTGTGAAAAATTACCTTCTTATGTATTTAAGTTTCCATTTGTGGTCAGGCTGAAAGTTTGGGCTCTCCTTCAAAAATGGGGGGTACTGCACTTCACCTCTCGTCCTTCAGGACCTGGCCAAAACAACCTAAGACAAGGATACTGACTTGAGTCTGAATATTATATAACCTTATATCGGGCAACCCTAAAATGTAAGATTTGCTTGGTCATCGTGTTGCGACCCGCTCGCTGTCGTGGTTGGCGTGCCGGCGGAAGATAGGATGTCCATGAAACCTGACGAAGCTGGAATGGGAGTAGATAAGCGCAGACGTAAAAAGAAGGCTTACAGTTTGTTCATTGAGCACCTTGTAAAGGTCAAGGACTAGGATTTTGGGCTGTAATGGACGGCATATGCATATGGGTAAGGAACAGGCACCAAATAGGATGGGTGCAATGCACATATATTAAGCAGCTTAGATAATTGAACTTAAGCCAAGTGCTACGTCTCACTACGTGTTGTATCTATGCTCCTGTTCGTATGCGTGGAGGTTACAAGGCACAAGCTGTGAGGCGAGGACTTCGAGAAACGCAAAACACCATGATTCACTTTATTGTTCATATAATATTTTGAGAGGATACTGTTTCCTTGTAGCTTACCGCGTCCCTTTCAGTGCCTACGAGGATATACGCAGTCCTTCCTGTTGCTGATCCTTAAAGCTTTAGAAATCTGTAGGCTTAAAATTTGGGGAATAAAGCTTACCTAGCCGCGCTGTAGGTCATCGTTTGGCTTGTGGAACTGGCTTAGTGGAGGATGGGCAAGATACTGGAGACTTTGTCGACACGCTTTCTAAGCAATAATATCTGACTATCTCAATGCCTTGACTAATTCAAGATTATGGCGGTAAGCTGGGAAAAAGCAAGTCGCTTTGTTGCTATCTGAATTGGCTCACATTCGTGCCCAGGATGGGACATGCGGCGGAACGGGGACCCTTATTTAACTAGTTTGTTCACATTGAGCACCCCACATATGGTGCCGGCGCGGTTGCCATATCAGCGACCCAACTGTCCTGGCATGGTATGAAACACAAGTGCCAGACTGGCGCGCGTCGCCGCACGCCTAGGCATGGCAGCTTACATACATCATTTTAATTTGCCGCTAATCAGCGGACGTTGTGGGTCTTTCTCCCGGCCCGCGCCCCCGTTTCCTTGCCGGAGGAGCCTCCCCTGCGCCCTCCAGGCCTTCCCTACTCCAGGGCTTCCTTGTCAGCTCAGGGTGGCCATACCATTCTTGCACGGGTGTTTTTCCCGCACCAATCACCCTCCCCCACCCTCCAATCCCTTTCTGCCCTCCGCTCGCCATGTTGGTCAGTTCCACATAAAACACACACGCGCAGATCCGTGACGGATTGGCTCTCCCCAGCCCTCATCACCTCCACAAAATTATCCTTGCCCAGATTCGCCCGCTCTCGTACTCTTCCCACTCCCCTTTAGTAGCTCTGCTCCCTGCTCACTTCCATCCATGTCCCTCCTCCCGCGTTCAGCTCTTTTTATCTACGTACCTATCTATCTATCCATCCTCCTGTCCTCCAACTCCGTTGCAGCGTCCTAATACAGAGCAGGTCTTTGGGCTCACCGCCGTCGACTTGGCGGTCCCGAACAACGGTCCCACGAATAGCACTACTGCCGATGTACCGCCGACGCCGGCAGCGGCAGCAGCAGCAGCAGCAGCAGCAGCAGCAGCCCTACCTGGCATCCCTACGGCCACAGCTGCCGCTGCGGCCGCTGCCAGCTTCGGTGAGCCAGTACCCCCCGGCTTCCTCTCTCCTGCCGGCGCCGCCGCCGCCGCCGCGGCGGCGGCGGCGGGGCCCTCGGCCACATCCAGTCGTGCTACCAAGTCCAAGCCGCCAGCAACACCGCCGACGCAGCAGCAGCAGCAGCCGACCGCTACCACCGGCACAACAGACGCTGACGCTGACGGCAGCAGTGGCGTCGGCGGTTCGGGAAGGGGCTACAGATCGTCAAACCCCGGCACTGGCCATCGGCTGCCGCCTATTAGCAATGGCGGCACCATGGCCGCTGGGGATGAGCGCGTCGGAGTGTTGACGACGCCGACGCCGCGTGGCGTTACACCGGGAAGCAAGCTGAAGGCAAACAGCGACACACGCAACTTTGACGGCAAGGACCTTCACGACTTGGTCAAGTTGTCCTGGCAGGATTACTCAGATGTGAGCCGCGTGCAGAGGATGGTGGAAGTGGGGCTGAGCAGCAACACCACGGAGGCGTCCAGAGCTGAGGCGTTGATGCAAATTCGGGAGGTGAGGTCGACAGGGGGGGGAGAAAGGGAGAGAGAGAGAAAGGGGGGAAAGGGGAAAGGGGGAGGGGGGGGGAGAGAGAGAGAGAGAGGCGGACAGAGAGAGGCGGATAGAGATAGGTGGGGAGCGCAAGGGAGACGGCGGGGCTCTCATGTATATGTGTAGATAGATGCGTAAATATATATACGCACGTATAATACGTATGTGAATGCAAGTGCGTACGTAGACGTATCGATGTATATCTATGTATATGTATATCTATGTATATGTATATGCATGTATGTAATGTGCGTGTTGCACTTACCAAAAGTTGCGTTGCTCTTCCAAGGTGTAATGGGGCCATACGAGCCGGGGGCCAAAGAGCCGGTCTAGGGCTGTCCGAAAATGGTTTTGTTGAATTAGCTGAACTATCTAGACTGTTATGCTGTTGCAGTGCGCCTACCGGCTACCTAAGACCCTCCCTAGCCAGGTTTGGTGGATATGGAGGTTTGCCAACCCAACTTCGGCTGGTCATCCGCTACCATCACATGCTCTATCGTCTGATCCACGTGAAACCCGATAGGACACTGCATGTGCTGCAAAAGAACATGATTTTCGTCTTCCACGGCTTGAGGCTCGGCAAACTTGCTGATATCGCTCGTAAGCCCGCAGCGGGTAATCCGGCCCAAACAGTAAAATGCAAGCTCCCCGCTTAAACTTATGTGAGCAAGGGACCCCGATTCGGTAACTACATTTATTCCAAGAACCGATAGCGCGCTAGGCCCAAAAGGAATTTAGGAGAATTTGCGAGAACTCAGCAAACAGCAGCCTGTGGGGTGCCCGTACAGCTCCTAATCGGCGCATGAACATTACCTGCAGCTTACTCGTAGGGTCAATCAGACAGCTCTTGAAAAGAAACCACAAAATCGTTACCGTCACGGCGCTTGGTGGTTCGGTTAGGGCTTCATCTAGGCCGTCAGGTCCCCAGGGGTCGCAGCCATAGGTGCAAATGGATAGGCCAGGGGCTTATCACGCATGCCTAGCTTGGCTAATGAGCCGAACATAGCACACCTCCCGGCCTCAATGAGGGGCGTTCGGCAAGTGGACAATGGGGTCTTTCCCCGGTCCGTAGGCTAAGTGCCTAAGTGCCCAAGTGCCGGGTGCCACGTACAGCAGGGATGGCCTTCCCTACCAGCAGCCGTAGGCCCGCACAATCCGCTAGGCACGTGTTTTCCACCTTTTCGGAGTAAGCGAAACGACATGAACACCCATTTCTGGCACAGCGCGCCATCCCGCTTCCCTACCCACCCTACCCTCCGTATCCTCCTCCACACTCTCCTTTCGTCCAGCCTCCCCTCGCACATCCAAACCCTATCCTCTGTCAACCCCAAAACGGACCACCCCAATCCCCCGAGTCCCCAACTCTCCCGCACCTCTGAACCCGTTCCCGGGGGAAAAAACCCTTTTCACAACCGCTAACAACTGCCTCCAACCGCCGACCCCCAACAGATCCCCCCTCACATGCACACGATTGCCCCGACCCTCTCCCCCAAAACCCTTCCAAAACGCACCACAGGCTTCCATCCAAAACCCTCTTTTCAATATCACTCCCGCCATTTTAAGCCAAATACGGGATCATCTGGCCTCCCGGAACCGTCTGCTGCGTCCCGCCGCTGCCTACGCCATTGCGGGGTATGCGGCAAACAGCCGGTACGGCAGAGGCCTTGTGAGCCTGGGTGCACACGACTTCCTCCCGAGGCTTAACTCCATGCTAAGGTGTCGAGTGGACAGCTTAGACGCCAGGTGGGGGGTTTTGGGGATTTGGTGGGCAAGGGGTTTAAGGGTTTTAGGGGATTTTAGGGGTTTGCTGGATGCAGATTGGAGTGCGCGGAGATCTGGGTTCTGTGGGACTTGGGTAATATCGGGTTGGGGCTGCGTGACGATAACAGAGACTGAGCTTCAGGCGGGCTTTTGAGGGATTTGAGTGGAGGGTTTGGCTTCGGGCGGCGGGGTTCGTACCCCCGGCATTAACCCTCCCGCACCTTTTCCATCATGTACCACATCCCGCCACGTACCACATTCCCAGGCACACAGGGGATTGGGGGAATCCACGTCACGTCACGTCACGTCACGTCAAGTTGGGATCTTGTTTGGGTCACTATGGGTTATGGCGCTTGTGTGTGCTTCACCCCACCCCACCCCACCCCACCCCACCCCACCCCACCCCACCCCACCCCACCCCACCCCACCCCACCCCACCCCACCCCACCCCACCCCACCCCACCCCACCCCACCTCCCTCAGGTACGCCTCTCTGGCGGTGCTGTCCGTATCCATGCACCCGGAGCACAAGGAGCAGGTGGGGAGGAGCGGATCCATACCGTTGCTCATAAACCTTGTACGACAAAACATAGGCAGGTGAGGCTGCTGGGGTTTGCTGCTGCTGTTGTTGCTGCTGCTACTGCCGCTGGTTGGGAGGAGAGGGAGGTTAAGGGGAGATTAAGGGGGGGCCATCTTCTTCCTCTTCCTCTTCGTCTTCCTCCTCCTCTCCTCCTCCTGCTCCTCTTCGATGTCCGCCAGCACACCCCTGTTGGAGTTCCGCTCACGTCTGCAACGTGCGGCCACCAACCAGCCCACAGAGCTGCGACCACGACCCTAGATCAGTTTCTTGGCGATGACACCTCCCTCCCCATCCGTGTTGCTGGTACCTACCCTACCCATCCAAGGAGGATCTATCAACCTAATCGACCTAGCCATCTACCACTAAGCACCTGTCTGCCACCTACTATCAAACCAAAAGCACCTCCTACCCGCCCAAGGACCTTGGCGGTCCTAAAAACACCAAGATCCTCTATGCAGCCACGCAGCCAAATGCCCACACTCCACATTCGCACCACATGAGTCAACCACCGCAACCACCGCAACCACCACGACGACCACGACGACCACCATGTTATCATTATATACACCAGACGTCGGCAACCGCAGTTTTGTGGTCTTGGGAACGTTTAGGACGCCTGTTTTACTGCAACCCAACATTTTTTTTAACGGCACCAAATTTGGTTCTGACCGCGCGACAGGCCGGTCAAACGGCCCTACGGGCCGCATATGAGGCCTTTACTGCCTTTGGATAACGTATGTATGTATGTTGTTACAGGGTGGTTAACTTCGCCAGCGGCCCCCTTTCCCGGGGCAGTCCCTGCTCTCCCCTGCTAGAGGGGCACCCTAATCCGTCACCCCATCCGACTTCAGAATGTATTCGTTGGGTTCGGCAACTCACCACCAGCATCCAACCAAATCTAGCGGATCAACGGCGCATCAACTTAGTTCCTGGTCAGCTCGCAAGTTGATATTATCACGTCCTACACCGCCCATACAATGGGGGGCCACCTCCCATTTCATCACTCCTCAAATACCCGAGGAGCCGGCAGGCGGATTTGAACCCGGGTCGACTGGGTCGACTGGGAGCAGAAGTCAGGCCTTAACCTCTGCCAGCCGCCAGCCTATATATGTATGTATGTGCGATGTACCAGTTTTACTGCTGGCTGCGAGGTTTGGGAGCTTTTTTACGGTCTTGGGAACATTGGTACGATCCGAGGTTGCGCCTAAGAGCTGCCTGAGATGTCTGATATACACCCTCGTCACTTCCTAACCGCGGCTTAGATCACTCCCAGCTCCCTGCGCATCCTTTTCCTAGGGCCTTACTTGAAACACACACATACACACACATACATACACACACGCATGCATGCATGCTCCCACACGCAGGACCACCCCGGTGCCGCCCAACCACGCCGAGGCCATGGAATACCTCATTGGCACGTACGACAACAGCGAGCGCAGTACGGCAACCACCAGCAGCCTCAACAGCTACAACCATGACTCCAATGACCCCAATGCGCCTGGCAACCACAATAACGGTAATAACAGCAACCACCAACTGAATACACCCCGCAAGCAAGCCCCCAACCTCGGCACTAGCTACAGCTACAGCCCGGGTAACAGCGGACTTGCTGCAGGGACGCTGTCGCTGCTGACGCCACAGTCCCACTCAGCACCGCTGGTTGCTTTTAATTCCGTACCGCCGGCACCGCCGTCACCGTTTCATTTAGAGCCGCCAGGCGGCCATGGCCGCAGCGGCGGCGGCGGCGGCATGTGGGGGGCCGGCGGCGGCGGGTACGGCGACCTGCCGACGTCGCCTTCAAAGGGCGCGTATCTGCTGCACGTCAAGCCGGGGGCAGCGCATGCGCTGGCGGCTTTGGTGAACCTGGCGGAGATCCCAAACAACCGTCAGAGAATGCGGGATGCGGGCATCGCTGCCGTGGTGCGTCGGTTGGCCCCCCCTTTTTCCATCTGTCTCGCTGTTCCCCTCCCTCTCGCCGCTCCCCCCTTGATTCTCTCTCCTCTTCTCTCCTCCCGTTCTTCGATCCTCAATCCAAACACGTCCTCAATCTCTCCTCTCATCTCATCTTCAGTCCTTTCCCCTGCCCACCCCTGGACAGTCCTATCACCGCCAGTACCGTCATGTGCATCCCGTCCGCACTCCCCGAGCTAACTTTGTTTGTTAATCATGACGGCGACACAGCAGACCGCACGCAGCCCGACCCGCACCCCGCTCCCCACCTCGACCCCAACTCAAGCCCAACCCTCTGCCCGTCCCAACCCTCTGCCCGTCCCAACCGGTTAATGGTGGTTGCTGGTTCATCGTTGTCATGTGATCGTGCACACATCGAGCCAGTTGGAAGACGTGATGCTCAGTCGCAATGACAACATCCTTCGGGAGCGCTGCAGGCTGTTGATCGACCTCTTCCAGGTGGGTGTGGTAACCGCTACGTTCCGCTACGTTCCTTTTTCCCCGCTAACGAACTAACTCACCCCGCGCCGTCGCAACAGCATCCGGCATACGGCGCAATCCGTGTCTCATTATGTGAGATGCTTTTGGTTGCTGACTGACTGGCTGTAGCTGTATTTGGCTGCGACCTCCTCCAGGGGGGCCCCCCGCAAAACAGAACCGCAGGGGCCCCCCCTGGATCTGCCAACCCAACTAAATACACCTGATATCACTGATATCACCTTATACTACCTCTTATCCCTCCCCTCTCTTTAAGGTCTTAGTAGGTATTTCTTATATAACCTTTATTCATCAGATGCTGCATCTCACCATGGTAACGACCTCTCATACGGGAGATGTCTTCGTAACTTCAAGGACACATCGACCCGTCGCCACCTGAATTCCCCCTCACCGCCTGCCTCCTGACCCAGATGGAGACCAACCGCTTCAAAGAAATTCAGGCCAGCGCGGATATGTACACCGTAGCATCTGTAAGTCAGGCGGTCGTCAACTTCATCCAGCGAGGGAGGGACGGAAAGGCATCCGCCGCGGCGGCTGCGGCGGCGGTGGCGGCGGCGGCTGGCGGCGGTGGCGGCACCGTCGCATCGGCCGCGGCTGCCTTCAGCGGAGGCGGAGGGGGAGGCGGAGGCTCCAGCGCCGACGGCCGTATGACCGGCACCGGCAGCACTCTGGGCCTCGTTGGCGGCGCCAGCCTCAAAGGCAGTCTGGCGTACAACCTTGTACGGCAGTTGGAGCGCGGTGATCAGGAAGGAGATCGGCGGGCGGGCACTGTGACTCTGACGCAACGGAATTCCCTAGGTATGATGTCTAGGATGCACTCGCAGGCGGTGGCCCGTGTTCAGTCGTACGCTCGGAAGCCGCCGACGTCATCAACGGGGGCGCCGCCGCTGGCGGCGGCGCCGCCTTCGAGTGAGCTGCCATCCGCCATAACGAGCTCGTCACTTGCACTTACGAGCTCCTTGGGTTTGCGGCGGCCGAGCGGCAGTAGCGGCGGTCCATGACGACAGCTCTAAGAGTTCGACTTTGTTGCCACACAGCGTGTACAAAACGCCGCGCGCCGCCCAGTACCTTCAGCTGCTCTCACCGGTCCTGCCACTGCCGCAGCTCACGTGCCGCCGCCTCATGTGTCAACCCGACACCAGCATTAGTACGGCACCGCGAGCCAGTACGGCTTAGCCGTACCCTGTTTTCTTGACACCCACTCAAAATGTTGAGGATGGTGATGTTGTCCTAAGGGTACATGGCCCTAGGAGCTGTGACATGACATGGTTGCAACGGCCGGGGCGGCAAAAGTACTGATGCGTGAATGCCTCTCGGCCTCTTTGTTTCCCCCGCTATGTTTCTGCTTCCTGTATGTCCGTCTGTCTGTCTATCCGTCCGAATGCCTGTCGGTCTATCTGTCTATCTGTCTGTGCGTCTGTCTGTCTGTCTGTCCATCTTCCTTGCTATTCTGGTAGGAGTGCTCCGCTCGCCGCTGCTGCGGTTGCGGCGGTCTCCTAGGAGGGCGCGATTATGTTGCGGAATGTGAGAGAGCTCTCTGAGGTGTCGGATGCGGCTGCACGAGGGCGCAGCAGCGCCACCACCAAAGATAGGGTCGGGTCGGCGGTACGACATTTGCACAGCGCGTCCTTACAAACACAGCATAAACATGACGTCCGACGTACAGGCCGGGTGTACATACATACGGTTTACGGGCTCGAAAGGAGTGAAAAAAACAGTTCGTACGACAAGCTTAGAGGAGTGTAGCGTACGGCATGTTACGTCCGTACTACAGGGAAGTATTGCGATGTTTGGGTCGTATAGCATCCAAGCGCTATGCGCATGGGTGGGCAGATAAGGGTGGTATGACGGCACAACGAATTTCCTTGCCCGCCTCAAGAAAAGGCCTTCTTACTTCGTGAGCACATCCGAGCCGATACATCTATATGTATATTGTTTTGAGGTGTAGCTGGGCGGACAGCACGGTCGTGGGGTTGTGGGTCGCGGAATGGGCCGTGTCGGTTCGGAATATCGGAACATATGACATGACAGACGCACACACAAGCTGACACGGAGACAGCACAAGCGCATTTGCCTACACGCATTCTTGACATCTCCATTGGCGGACGCACGTATGCGCAAACGCATGCTCTTGAGCACATAAGCTATCGCAAGTTACAAGCTTCAAGTTACAAGTTCCTCACCAATGGGGGGTTGTCCGTCAAAGCCGATGGCCATGGACTATATCCGCTTTCGTAATGCGTTTCGACATGGCCGACCGAAGCTTCGATGTTCTCTTCTCCTGCCTGTATGTACCATCATGGCATTCCTAACAAGGGTGTCGTACAGACAATGTGCACGTACGGCTGTTTTAAGTTTTTATTTCCGCAATTCTCTTAGGAGTGCAGGTAGGGGTCTTTGGGGGGCTGAGCGTCTAGTTATTATCAGTGGATCCTCCTCGTATGTGTATGTCTGTATGTGTATGTGTATGTGCGTACGTCTGTTATGTGTGTCCCGTGAAGACTGCGTCGCGTGTGAGTTTGTAATGTCAACTTCTGAAGTGTCCTATGAACGACCTGTGTTTGTCAGTGTATGCTGATTTGTGAAGTAGGTGGGGGATTTAGCTTCACACTTGTGTGTGTGTGTGTGTGTGGCCACCAGCCTGCTGGCAGTCCCCCCACTACCTTCCCCGATGTTTAAAGGGCACTCTCGTCCTTCTTGTCACCCACGTGTGCCGACTTTTGCAAAGTCAGTAACTAACTTGTCGAGCTTATCACCACCTGCACCACCAGCACGAGCACCATCATCTGCACCACCAGTGGAAGCTGTCAGATGACCAGTGGCGGCGGCGGCGGCTTCACTCCACTCCGCAGGTGTCACTGTAACCGATTGAATGACCGTCCATAGGCAGGGCTCCCGGGGGGTTGCATCCGCCCCCATCTCTAAGCCTACTAGCGTATGTGGGTATGAAACTGTATAAAGTATTATCGCAAATCGGCCGCGTGTTATGGTGGACGCACACACGTACTATCTAACATACATCCAAAGGATCGACAAAGAAGATTTCTAGGGGGAGGATAATGAGATTGGTTATAGAGTGACGGTCAAAGTTGCAGAGAGTTGACCGTTAACGGTTGTAGGTATTCGGCAACGGTTACTACGCGGGATGACATGGCATGTACGGCCAGCTCCAGCTGTCGTCTTTCGCCGTGTTGAGGTTACGACAGGAAGTCGTGCACATGCACATGCATTCATGTGATTTGCAGGGGACGCCGAATTGCAATCGCAACCTGACTTTGTGCGCGAGTCAGAGTATTCCCATCGAAATATATCCCTTCCATTAAGCACTATCCCACTGAAGCATTCACAACCACCACAACCTACTACAACCACAACAAGAAAATGGCAACGTGAACGACGAGCCTTATAAGCTGCGTCGTTCTTCTGCGCCGCGCAGAATCTAACTCATCGCATACAGGACACCCGAGAGCCCCAGCAAGGAGGATCTCCGTAACTAGTACACAGTGCACATCTGCACAAACACTCGCATGTCCGTTTCGCTCTACGCCGTACAGTGACCCAGTAGATCTTCCCTAGAAGATTACGTACACTGAGCTTGCAACCGACGAGCTTTGCATTGATCCACTTATCCTGCTTATCCTGCTGAAGAAGCTCTTGTTTTCACAACTGAGCACACTAACAAGCACAAAATCTCCCATGTCAACCCCTCCAACGGCAATAACGGCGACAGCAGCTGCACAATATCCAACGAAAGAGCAAGGGAAAACGGTGCGGTCCATGTGCGTGTGTGCGTGCGGAGGGGGGGGGGGAGGGGGGGAAGAGGTGCATGTGGCATGTAATGTCACCCCCGCACAAGACTTTTATGGGCCACGAATCACACGTTAGCTCCAACTGCCCCTTAACACCGGCACCGGCACTGTCACCGGCTTCTATCACCGGCCACAGCAACCGCCACGCACCCGACCTTGAACCCCCACTCTCGGTGACCGGCTTGCAACCACCATCGTACCAGCACCTCGTGATGAAAAGGTAAGCACTTATCAACCTCCAAACAGACCCAGCAACTCCGAGATAAGAAAACCCACGCATTAAAACCTGCTAGGAGCTTATCAAGAAACGCTTTCACCTGCACGCGCACATGCGCGCAAAAAGGAGAGTCCATCCAGCCCTTCCAGCGTTTGTATGCTATTCACAACGGCGAGGCGAGGCGGCAACCTCTCAACACCATCATTGCGCGAAATGCGAGGACAGGAGGGGGTTGAAGTACGAGCATCACGCTGGGCAACGCTCCCGTATCCCTTGTCATCATCAGGCCATGACCTCCGTGAGGAAGTGCGTCATGAGGTGGATGGCCTTGCCGGCCGCCGCGGCCACTGCGGGATCGGACCAGTCGCCGCGCGCGGCAACAAAGCCGTGCACCTGCGAAGTACACGCGGAGTGAAAGCGCTGAGGTGCCCCGTGTTAGGCGAAGGAGGAAGCTGCAGCGGAGGAGGAGTATTCAAAACGCGGAGCCAACGGAGAGACGGCCCTACAACACGATCCGCTAGGCCGCAGGCGGGTTCAGAGTCCAAAACGCTCTCGTGCGTTTCCAGGTGTTCCTGGGTGGATGTTTCCTGGGTTCTTCCTTACTAATGTGGTCTTGCTGCAGTACGACATGGTGACAAATATGTCGATGACGTGTCTTGCTCGGTGGTAGAGGATTTATGGACAGATGGAAGCGCGTCGAGACGTGTTCGCGAGGTATGTGCGCATGTGCTCTGGGGCGGCATGAAGAAGAGCTGAATTTCACAAAATTTCGCCCCTCCGCGTGCGATACCCCACCCCATCCCCGCTGCCCTCCTCTCCCCTTATTTTCCCCTCCCGGACTCTCCGCGCACATTGTACCTGGTCATCGAAGCGCTGATACACGCACTTGTTGCCTGGTTCGTTGAGGGATGAGGAAGTCAGTTGGTGTCACAGTTGGTGTCAGTTGGCAAATTGCTTGAACACGGTCCACTTCTCAGAGCTAAAATCATCGTACTATTGCTGTACTTGGTGCAATGGTTTTTATTTTGATCTTTGGAAAGCACTGCAGACCGCCACAAAACGGAGTGCTTCCCAATTTTCCCTTTCGTGTTTAAATTTTTAAATGTGCATAATTGTTTGGTTACAACAACGCCCAGATTAAACAGTGTACCTTGATAACAGAAACATTAGTCCGAGCAAGATGAGGACCAGCGGTTAACAAATGAATTCCAAGGCAATTTAGCAGCAGAAGCAGCAGCGGCAGCACATGCAACACGACAAGGTGAACAACTTCGACACCTACCGTACGGCCTGCTCCCCAGGGCCTTTTGAAAGACCTCATACGACGCATCGCCCTTGGCAGGTAGCAGGATTACCGGGCATGCCACCTTCTCTGCCAGGTCAGCGTCCTTGCCGAACAGTGCAGGGTGGGCGCCACCAGCCCCGCTGAAGGTAGCACCGTCCTGATTCCGAGACATTAAATGGTTGTTTAGACAGTTGGAAATTGGCAGTTGCGAGTTGATAGTCGGAAGTTGGCAGTTGAGAGTTGCCACATCGAAGACGGCGGCGCAGGCGGTCATTTAAGGGTTGCATGGGTGGTTGGTAGTTTTGAAGCTGGAGACGAGGGAAACAACGCAACGGAAGGACAAGGAGAGAGGGCAGTGGGCAGAAGAGGCGGACGGGCAAATCACGGCGGAGGACTGTTGGCGCATCTTCCCCAACTGACCTAAAACCCTCATCTCACCTCACCCCACCTTGGCAATAAAAAGGGATTGCACCATCACAGCCGCTGAGCCCACAGTGCCCGTCCACTCCCTTCTCCCTTTCCTTACCCTCGCCCACACCTGGTATTGCGCCAACTGGTTCCGCCCAGGCCCAAATCCACCCCCCTCCCCATGCAATTCTCCACCCTCTTCGGCCTCCCCGGGTAGTCGCCGCAGCCACAGCACCCGCGGGTCCCGTACTCCCCCACCTGACCAGCCCGCAGCGCGATGCTGACTCCCCAGCAGAAGCCGATGCAGCTCAGTTTGGTGGCTCCCTCGCTACGCAGCCGTTCCACTGCCGCATACACCTGCGGCTGCAGCGCCTCCCAGGAGCCGACCCGGCCCAACCAGCCCATGAAGTCATGCTCTGGAGGGGGTTGAGGGAGCGGGTGACAAGGGTGGGGATGGGGTGTGGCGGAAGGGTGCGTGACAGGGACCAGGGACGCGGCGTAAGGGCTTGATGTTGAAACGGACAGTGTCAAAGGGACAAGGGAAAGGCAAGCGGTGATGGCGTGGGGAGTGCTGTGTGGCCCGGCGGCCCGGGGCTGTCGGTGGAATGGGTAAAGCTATGTGTGGCAACGCTTCTTGGGTAACGTACCTGGTTTGGGCGGAAACTTCGACAAAGTCCAAGGCTCCCCGTGGAACGGGTCAATCGCACAGACATTCAGACCAGCTTCCGCAAAGCGATCACAAACTTGGAACACCTGATGGCCGATCGCAACGTATCGCGGACGGTGCCGATTGGACCGACAATAGCAAACAAAGCCTTCCCCATAAGACGTGGGGTAAGCTGGCGCAGTTTGGGGATGTTTGATTTACCTGCTTTTGTCCAAAGCCAAAGATGTCCGGAATTATGACTAGACCAAGGTTGCCGGAGCCGGAACGATAGATAGGCAGGTCGCCAACCTTATCAAACTTGCCCTTCGGCTCATAGTCCAGCTGCACTGGTTTGCCAGCAGAGCAACACGCCTCCGAAGCCATCGCGCGAGTCTGGACTAGCAGTCGGCGGTTGGGATGTGCTCGGATGAACTGGGAGCGGGAGAACTGCTTGATCAGTCCACTTGCGCGCATTGAATTTAGCAGAGCTACAGTAGTATGTATAATATTTTCTTTTTGTGATCAATCGCAGACCACTTGGTCTGTACGGTAGGCTGATGAACGGGAGAAGTGCTCAGAAGACCTGGACGGCCCATATCATGTCATTCATTATCCCTATCAATCCATTCGCATCCCGACTGTGTTGCCAAGGCTCCGCATCGACGAAGGGTGCATGCAACCATGATACATGTGCTTCTTGATCGCGTACGGCATTATTTCATGTCGAATGTTACCGTAAAGGCTGCGTGCGCCGAGGAGCAGCCTCCTCCCGTTTCCAAGCCCTGCTCCCTGTGCACGTTTGCAGTTACCGTGGGACGAGCAAAAGATGCGTGAGTTAAGAAACCAGATGCGAATACAGCAATTGGTTTAGGACTGAGCAGAAGCGCGTACGGTGGACAAAACACCACCCGCGACGACATATGCGCCATGTTAACCAACATGTTCCGAGCTCACCGCGTCCTCAAGAGTAATATCTTCTCCCCGCTTCGGGCTGGTCCTATTACATGTACAGGCATATTGCCCCACGCATCGCCAACTAAGAAGTCCTTGTTTCCTAAGCAAGAGTTGTCGTTTTGCAAAATTCGGGTAACCCCCCACTGCTTCCAGCTTCTATCAGCACTTATCAGCACCAGCATGCATGAATGCATTCAAACATGTGTACGGACATACGGATGGAGTCCTAACCCAGAAAAACAGCGGAGCCGCGCACAGGGCGTATTACACCTTCACGTTGGATCAGGCGAACCCGTTACTGTTTAGATCCCACTTTATTATAACCCAACACCTAAATGCCCTGCTAAAGTACCCACCCGCCGCCCGCCTGCCAGAGCGCCCCCCTCCCGTTCGCCAATTCCAACAATACTTCGCCTGACACAACTTTTTGCCCTCGTTCTCGGCATGTCCACCGACTAATTTGGTGCTGACGATACACCGACACGGTACAAACTGAATATAAGTGCCTTGGCCTCATTCAGAAAATCATGCTTTTAAATGTTTCCCTTGGCTCCCGCTCATTCCTATCATGATTGCATGTCGGTGGCCAGGTGGTCTTGGGGGGGATGTGCGGGGTCGTGGGGCTGCCGCCCCACTTCCCCGCACTTTCCCCCTCTCCTGCCCCTTGTTCTTGGAAAGTTTTAGGCGAAAGTTTTTATCGGCTGGCATTGGCAAGCATGTGGGCTGTGTGCACTTTTAAAATGATTGGAACGGTTTGTTTTCTTGCATTGGTCGTACAGTGCAAATTGCCCACACATTGCTAGTTGTTGCAACTTCCCGACTCTCAGCCGCCGCCGCTGCTGCTGCTGTCAGGGGGGCGGGCCGTCACTGACCGGGCCCAGCGGCGTGTGCAGGGACTGCCGTTGACTGCAGGTGTTGGGGTGGAAGGGGTGGTGTTGGGGTCGCCAGGGGTGGGGCGGCCGCTGGGGTCGGCAGCATGGCGGGTGGTGTAGAGCCGCCGATGGGGCCACTGCCACCGGGGCAGGCGGGGCTAGTGCCGAAGGGGGTGCCCGCCCGTTGTGAACCAGGCCGCGGCGGTCGTCATCGAAGGTGACATCGTTGCTCACAGTCACCATGCCCTTGACATGGACGCGGTGGGTGGCCGTGCCGTGCTCCGGTGGGCGGTAGGTTCCCCCCTTTGCACGAGGACCGAGTTTGTCCTGCTGGCTGGCTGGGATGCGGATGTAGGCCAGGCAGGTGAAGATGTGGAGGTGGCTGACGTCGGGGGGGATGCCGTGATAAGCTGCCCACGGTGTGGCCTCCCGGCCCTGAGAGGGGGCCGCATTGTGCAGGAGGTTTGTGTAGAGTGCAGCCTCCAGCCAGTAGCTGATCGGGAGTGCTGCGTCATGCAGCATCGCCCGAACACGGTCGAGGAGCGTAAGGTTGAGTCGCTCCACCGCTCCGTTCTGCTCTGGGGTGTACGGTGCCGAGTGGGTGTGTGCAGTACCGTGCTGGTGCAGCCACTGCTCCAGTTGCTTGGCGACCCATCGTTGTCGCTGTGCAGCGTGTGTACCCGTGCATGGTTCGGGTGGCGGGCCTCCAGCTGCGTCACCATGTCCTGCAGCACTTCACCCACTTGGCTCTTGCTGGCCAGCATGCGGACGGCGGACAGACTGGTGGGACCGTCCAGCAGCGTCAGCAAGTAGCATGCACCCCCTGGGCCCATGGCCGGCATGGGCCCGCACAGGTCAGAGTGTACGACCTCCAGTGCTATGGCCGGTTGCCACGGCTGGGGTGGGCGGTTGCGGTGGCCTTCAAGGTGACACAGGCCTTGTAGACGGCCTCCACCGCCTGGCACAGTGCCGCTGGAGTGACCTGTGGTCCCTGCACCAGCTGCTTGCTGATCCGCTGCTCCAGTACATGGTAACTGAGGTGACCATACTGGCAGTGCAGGCGCTGTGCTGCCGCAAGTTCGGCGACTGAGTATTCAGCACCCCCGGGGCTGCCGTTGCCTGGTTGCTCTTTGCCGTTGCTGTCACCATTCGGCTGGCCTCCACCGGTGTGGCTGCCGGTGGTGCTGCCGCCATGGGTGCTGGGGACAGCGGTGGCACTTCCGCCAGCACTGCTACCTGTGGCCTGGCCCCCGCCAGCTCTGTCACCCATGGTGCCGAGGGCATTGACGGTGATGTCGGTTGGCGCCTGCAGGTCCACGTCCATGCATAGTGCCCACACTCGCTCCATGTGGAACAGACGGGCTGTTGTGCGGGAGGCTGCTGCATGAGAACCAGCAGCCCGTTTTGTCCGTGCTGAACGTGACCGAGCAGCCGCGTGTCATGAGGTCTGTGGACCTCTCATGATTATATCGCTACGGAACTGCTCTGCCCGCTGAACGAAGTCAGCGGTCGTCTCCCCATCACACATGCTCAGCTGCTTCTGCGGCTCCAACAGGCTCAGCCGGGCCTGGGATGCAGAACGGAACTGTTGCTGTAAGAGCTGCATGGCCGCGAAGAGCGGTCTGGCAATTCCTGAGCAACTGCTTGATGGGCAGTTCACAGGACAGACGCAGGTAGCCGAGCGCCTGTGCGTCCTCCTGCAGGGTGTCTTGTGTGTTGCGGCTCGGAGGCGACGGGTTGTTGATGTAGTCTTGAACTTGGACGTTGCGAGGAAATCGCCTAAGTCACCGAGCCACTGGTAGTAGTTCGACCCATCCGAGAGGAGGAAACCCTTACATCCCTTCCCCATGATGGTTGCCCAGCGAGCATGACTGATCAAGCCGCGTTCCCCGCCACCTTTCTGGCAACTAGTTGCTGGTGTGATGCATCGTTCTTGCGGTGTACGATGGCTCCTGATGCGACTTATGCCCTTTCATCCTCCCAGGCATGTCCCCACCTGCCTCACAGCCACCGACGCATCTCACGGCGGGGGTCTAATTGTGTGCGCGTTTGGATGCAGCGCTCACCGCTACCTTTCTGGCAACTAGTTGATGGCATCATGCATCGATGGTCCGGCATACAATGTCGCCTGGTGCGATATATGCGTCGGGAAGCCCTTTCAGCCTCCCAGGCATGTCCCCACAACTGCCTGACAGCCAGCGGGGGTCTAATTGCGTGCGCGTTCGCATGCGGCATATGTCCCGCCGCCTTTCTGGCATCTCTCTGATGGTATGATGAATCGTTGTGCGATGTAGGGCTGCGCCTGATGCGATCTCGTTTGTGGAAGGCCCCCCTGAGTGCTGCCAAGCATGTTACTCTCTCATGAGACAGCATGAAGGTTAACGAACTGAGTATGCGACCAACACATAAAACATCGCATGTGAATTGTTATGTCATGCGATTAATCAAAGTAAATCGTGTGTGTTTGGTGTGTGTTAGCTTAGGCCGCGTTAAGCTTTACGCAATCAGCCTTCATACACATGAAACGCAACATGTATTCGCATGCGAATAGCCATGCGGACTGCGTGCGTTTGATGTGCGATTGGACGCGTATTGCTTTACGCATTGTCTCCCCACACGCACGATTCGGTAGATGGAATCGCATGCGTGTCGCCTTGCTACACATGCGCGTATGCTTCACGTTTCAACATAAGCACGGATGAATTGTTCAAGTAGACCAAAACGACGAAAGTTTATTTCCAAATGAACCTTTGCAATCTAAAATTTATAAAATTTTAGCCAGGAGGGCCGATTTCCGCTTTTCGATAGCCGTTGTGCGTTAGCTCTTTGCGTTAGAAAAACATGCTCATTCGCACGTAACGCTAAGATTCGCACCGTTACGCGAACAAACGCAAACTAACGCGGACTTAACGCGATCACCCGTCATCATAGTGTGTCGTGGTCATGGCGAGCATGTCATGCTCATGTCATTGACCACAATGCTGAACGTCAGCGATTGTACCGACAATGACAGCATTTATTAGCTTTATATTCACTAGCAGTCCAAGGCTTTAATGAATGTATTAACTCAAGGATCAGTCTATCACAACGATAACGGCGAAGGAAAAGAAGCCAAACTAACCTTACAAATTGTGAAAAGAAGAAGTCATATGTAAAATTGAGTGTTTGCTATTTATGTACTGGGTTAAATACTGGCTGAACAGCGACGCAGATCGGTCGTGCGATGATGCCGTGCGAAATCTTGCCGCCGCCGAAAAGTGCGTAACAGCACTACCTACATTTTCGTTTTTATGGCATTGTAAATTTGCATTTGATTAAGTGGTTCACCACTTTTGGCAGGCAAAATGGACGCTGACGCGGAACACAGTGCTTTAACCACACAGCATCAAGCACGCTACAAGGCTAAAAATCAATATGCTTAAACTTGCTGTCATATACTTCAAAGAAAAATTGCTGCAGATTCCGCTTAGCATGTAGAGACAGCGACGGATAGAATTCCCTTTAGGCTTTACGACTTGAGGGCCCTATAGAGACTGTACGGCATCATTGGCCTTCTTCCCTATAGGGACTGTACGGCATCATTGGCCTTCTTCCCTATAGAGACTGTACGGCAGTATCATTTTTTACCTAAGAGGTTACCTTTTTAGAGTTAGAAATAGGGGGGTCCTTGTGAAGCAGCTGCCCGCGTTTCCAAAGCCCGTATGGTGTTGGATTGTAACTTGCCCAAGTACGTTTGCGAGGAAGAGAATGTGGCCAGGCTGGAGAGGAAAGTGCAGTGGCATATTGGAATGTGAGATTAGCGTAAGCGAGTTACAGGGCGTTTTACTGCACGGGCGAATTTACGTGCAAATCTTTCACCGTAGCATCAGTCCTCAGTTCACTTCTTGGAACGAACATCAGCATAGGTCCAAGCCCTCTCGCTTGGAGGGATATGCAAACAAACATCCTGATAGGGGTAAACTCGCACGCTACCGAGCATTCAACCGAGCACATGCATGCTTAGTTGAATCATTCACATTATGGTGAGATGCGACCCCCCCTTCATTTCATGCGACCCCCCCTTCATTTCGTGCTCGGCAAGCCTGCCACCGCGTACCGGATATGTTGGCGATGTTACAGAACGCTGCACCTTGGTTTCTGTGCGCATTGCGTACGTTGCTCGACCCCGCCGACCAAAATTACACGTGCCCAACTGAAGACATTCCCGGTGGTTGTGCAGCAGCTCTTGAGGCTGTTGCTGGCTGAAATCCATCCTGAGCTGTTGCAACACGGCTAACGCGGGCACGTCCCTATGCACAGCAAATAGCTGTTCCAAGCCAACAGCGGCGTCCTTGTCACCGACAAGGCTCTAAACGTCTTATCTGTTCTTATGTTTAATTAAGTTTATGTATGTTATACTTTGCGCAACTTTGTAATTTCACTTTACTCTGAACAAGGTGATGCATACAACTGCCTCTTCGCCAGCGCTTCATCTTCCGCGGCAGTTTCAAGAGCCCAGAGTTGCAAGCTACGACGTTGGCTTTCGGTGCTTTTAGTTACTGCAAAGCATCCACGCAATAGTCCAGCGTGCGGCTATGGCCAACATGCCCACCTGCGCAACGCGCTGGCGCACCTCGTCCTCATCCGCCAAGAAAATTTATATACACTTGTACAGGCGCATTTTGAGAATCGCACGCGCGCATCTGCGCGGCAAAATTCGCTCCTGACTTTTGGGACGAGATGTACGGAGTCTCTATTCGCGAAGTACGACCGGACACATTTGTGCGAGGGGCTGCTTAAAGAAAGGAAGAAATAGGGGGGTCCTTGTGAAGCAGCTGCCCGCGTTTCCAAAGCACGTATGGTGTTGGATTGTAAGGTGCCCAAGTACGTTTGCGAGGAAGAGAATGTGGCCAGGCTGGAGAAGAAAGTGCAGTGGCATATTGGAATGTGAGATTAGCGTAAGCGAGTTACAGGGCGTTTGGCGCACGGGCGAATTTACGTGCATACCTTTCACCGTAGCATCAGTCCTCAGTTCACTTCTTGGAACGAACATCAGCATAGGTCCAAGCCCTCTCGCTTGGACCAAGCCCTCTCGCTTGGAGGGATATGCAAACAAACATCCTGATAGGGGTAAACTCGCACGCTACCGAGCATTCAACCGAGCACATGCATGCTTAGTTGAGTGGTGAGATGCGACCCCCCCTTCATTTCGTGCTCGGCAAGCCTGCCACCGCGTACCGGATATGTTGGCGATGTTACAGAGACGCTGCACCTTGGTTTCTGTGCGCAATGCGTACGATGCTCGACCCCGCCGACCAAAACTACACGTGCCCAACTGAAGACATTCCCGGTGGTTGTGCAGCAGCTCTTGAGGCTGTTGCTGGCTGAAATCCATCCTGAGCTGTTGCAACACGGCTAACGCGGGCACGTCCCTATGCACAGCAAATAGCTGTTCCAAGCCAACAGCGGCGTCCATGTCACCGACAAGGCTCTAAACGTCTTATCTGTTCTTATGCTTAATTAAGTTTATGTATGTTATACTTTGCGCAACTTTGTAATTTGACTTTACTCTGAACAAGGTGCTGTATACGTTGCACTACCAAAAACGCGACCGTTTGCTTGCACACAACTGCCTCTTCGTCAGACGCTTCCTCTTCCCGCGGCAGTTTCACGAGCCCAGTCTTGCAAGCTACGACGTAGGCTTTCGGTGCTTTCAGTTACTGCAATGCAGCCACGCAATAGTCCAGCCTGCATGCCGCGTGCGGCTGTGGCCAACATGCCCACCTGCGCAACGCGCTGGCGCACCTCGTCCTTTCTCCACGAAAATTTATATACACTTATACAGGCGCATTTTGCGAATCGCACGCGCGCATCCGCGCGGCAAAATTCGCTCCTGGCTTTTTTGGACGATGTACGAACCGTTTATTCGGCAGAGTACGACCGCTCACATTTCTGCGAGGGGCTGCTTAATCATTTTTCACCTAAGAGTTACAGCTTTTCAGAAAGAACTAAGAACTATTTTTACGACTATTATAATTTTTGGGCCGATCATTGGCGAGCGCAATAATGAGCGGTAGCAACGATGCTTAGCTCTTCCGCTGGCACCACAAATTGCCCTTCACCCTCTCCTTAAAGTGCTCTTCCCTATGCTTTAACACCCACGCCCATTATCCGTGCACCCACTAGCGTTAATCAATACACAATATTGTGAAATTCAAGGTAGCGCCAGCTGCGGGCATCAGCAGTAAACACGGCACCGCACGCAACCCAGAATGTCGTGTAGTGTAGCGAGAGATTATCGTCTTCGTGGTGCGGGTGCCTCACAAAGTGCGCGAACAAATTCAAGAAAAGACCGATGTGAGTGAGGCAGCAGGGAGCGATAGAACAGAAACACTAAGATAAGAAATGCAGTCCTAGAGACGGGAAGGCACGACGCTTCGACGAAACGGACGACGACGTGTCCTCGGCTTCCATGAAACGGAGTTACCATCCTTCGTTCCCAGAGGAGGCCTGGGGATAGCCCCGCGGCAGCAGTCTGAACGCGGATACAGCACACTCTACTGCGCCACGCGCCCTCTCCGCCGCGCCCACCCACTCGACTCCACCACGGAAAAAGGCTCAAGAAATGAAGGAGGAGCGCAGTGGGCTAGAGAGATCGCCGTGACAGGCGCCGCTGCCGCGCCCTGAGCGGTCCACCCTTTTTAGTGTCAGGGACCCTAAGCCGCAGCACTGCCATGCAGCATGCATAAATTCCGGAACCGCTAAGGTTACAGACGGGATGACGCATTACCAAAGGAAATGAACTTAAAAAAACCACTACTACACCTTAAAAGTAGGGAAAGTGGATGGTTATACGTGACCAATTGTCTAACAATGACAACAGTGACCGCATTTCTTATTCCGTCTTCCAGAGTGGTGAACAGCCTAGCTGCTACCTGTTCGTAACGGCTGTCTGCGGCCAGCTACAGGGTAACTGCGGTGTCCATCCGGCTAATTAGCTAGGCACCGAAAAAGCCATGCCGCAAGTCTATCCGACTAGAGCACCCGCTGCCACTCATCAAGGAAAATCCACCCAAATCATCATATACCAGCACAGGCGTTTACTCTTCACGCACAGTTCCATACGGTTTGTCGGGAATGCAGACACGGGGCACAGCCGTGACACGCCCAGCACCACCCATCCCTCCCAAATCCTCCAAAGGTGGAGGAAGCGTAACGTTCGGTGCCGTGAATGTGGAGCAACACACTTGAGGACGTCTACGGGGCTAGCGCCTTTCCAACCTTGCGTAAACCGTCGAAAGCAGTCAAAAAGAGTCAATTAGCTCGACAATGGAATAAAAGAAGGGGACACATGTGTTGAAGCTTAAGATATAAGACAGACAGACAGACAGAAAGAGCAAAAATAAGCAATGCCGAAGTTTTCGTTGGCACCACATCACCCAACCACCCAACTACAACGAGACCTGACCTGAGCTAACCTTTACGCAAACGGCCTCAGAGATCCAAGATCCAAAACTGCTTCTTCTTATTGCACACTGGAAGGAAACGCCATGGTCCTGCGTCCTTGATACAAACCCGGGTGCGACACACCGTTTCTCTTTGTGCCGAACGCTTTTCCTGCTCTACGCAAGATAGCCACTCCGGCCACCACACCTAGCTTATCCGCCTCACACAAACACCTCACGGTCCGTTACAGGCAACCGCCAACACAGCCCTATGGAACATGCGCACAGGATGCTCATAGGGCTTATCGATTAGGCCACCCAAGTGGAAAAAGCCCATGGGCCCAACAAAGTCCTCCAGGTGACGTGACCACCACCACAGCAACGACCAATCCTTTTACACAATGCCCTCAGTCCCTTAAAACACGCTGGATTGGCTTAATGGTTTGGCGCGTCAGCAGAATTCATGGCTGCATTCATCGCAGAGTTGTTAACAAGCTTTCCAGGAATGCGAGGATCCACACATTTCCCCCCAAGTTGTTCCAAAAAGGCCGTTTCAGGCCGCTGTGTCCTGCTTGCCCCAGTCTGAGCACTGGCCCTGCAGCAACGCCCCAGTGAGCTCCTATGCAGCGGTGTTGTAACGGAAAGCAAACCTCACAACGGATACGGCGATGCAGGCTCAGCCGCCACCAATGACGATGACGCCCGCGGCTCCACTACCTCCCGACCGCCCATCCCCCCGGGGGCTGACTGGGCGTTCCTGTCCTGTGCTGCCGCTGCCGCCGCCGCCGGTGGCTCGCCCCCTGCCGCCGCCGTTGCCCCTGCCGCAGCTGCGGCGCCTAGCCGCTTGCGGTCCAATGCCATGAAGGAAGCCAGGAGTAGCAGCAGCAAATTCGGGCGCGCCGCCACAACATCTTCCCACGCCAGAAAGATGACGCAACCCAGCTTGCGCGCGCAGCTGAGCAGGTACCTGCAATTTGACAGGGAGGCTGCGGTAAGCAAAGAACATAGAACCTGAATGTGGGCGAAAAGATGTTCTTCGCGGGTGCCATTGGTTGGTGGTTGTGTCCCGCCTGTAAGGACTGAGGCTTTCGGTGTGTGGGGAAGGCCCAGGGACGGCCAGGAACGGTTTACTGGGACCGCAGCCATTCACACCCTGCACCGCGCGCTGCCCCCCTACCTGGCATTACTTCCGCGCTCCTCCGCGTTGCGTCCCGGCAGCACGTACTTCGGGTTGACGGAGCGAGGACAGATGGCCGCCAGGAGCTGCAGCAACACACTCCCCTCGCCAAGCCTCTTATCGGAAAAGCTAACCAGCGGCGTGAACGGCAGCTGCGGCGCTACACCACAGCCGGCCGGAACCACCTCATCCGTTTCCCCACGGTCGGCTGCTGCTGCCGCCGCTGCCGCCTCCAGCAACTTCGCGTTAGCCCAAGCTAGCACCGCTTTTTCTACCTCCACATGGGCACGGGATCCGCGCTGCGGACTCGGCGCGAACGGCACGTGCTGAGCGTGCGGCGACACTTCATGGCCGCAGATGAGACCTGAGCTGTGGCTGTGGCCCCCATAGCTATGGTTAAGGCCGTAGCTGTGACCCAAGGCATGGCTTGGACTGTAGCTGTGGCCAAAGCTGTAACTTTGGCCCAATGTTGGCATGGCGCCCGGTGCTGGGAGGCGTTGAGGCGATGTGGGTGGGTTCGGGTAGGGCACCGGCGCCGCCAGCCCAAGTAGCATGCCCATATGATGGCGCATCATTTGGAAGACCAGTGACAAGGTGGCACGGCGCTGGCCCTGGTCACGGCGCACATGCAGGAGAAAGGTAGGTAGACGAGCTTCCATGCGACACGCACCGGCACACTGAACTGCGCAGACGCAGCATTAGAGCACGGCAGAGAAGACGCAAAGTAGCACGATCAGTGCATCTGCGCAGATTCTCTTCACGGTGACCGTCCGTTACTCCACGTACCAACAGGTTAATCGCTTTACGCTTTGGCATCACCAAGTATCCCTATACCCAAAACGCACATGGACGAGCTGAACGTACATTTATACACGAGCACAATCTTTACATACACTATACGACATAGCACGCACGGATGCACTGACACACAGGCCAGGTACACCGCCAACGCCCGCGTCAGCGGCCCGCTCACCAGTGCCAGGTCCAGTCCGCCAATGTTGACTAAGGGCGGCATAGCAAGCTGGCGGGTGCAAACCTCAATGACCAAGTTACAGTTCTGAACGCTCAGAATCTTACGAAGCTGCGATACCCAAGGGTGTGGATCAAGACGGGGAGGGAGAGAAAGGACAAAACAATGAACAAGGAGGGCCATCAAGTGGGAGCGGCGTGGGGAGACCGCGGGGCGGCACAGGAGCTGTTACGTGTGTCGCGGCCAGCCTCGGACGGGTTGAAGACAGCAAATTGTGCACTGCATAGCTTAGCAGAACCTGAGTACCCGTGTTAGGATAAATCCCCCTTAGGGCCCGAAATCAGTATTCCGTCCATAAGACCTCAGTCCTTGAGAACTCCCGGCCTCCGATCCTGGAACCATTGCTGCCTAGATTTCACAAGTTACAAGTTCCGCACAAGTGCGGGGGTGTCCGTAAAAGCCGGGGGGGCCAGGGACGGTAATTCACGTAATCCACCCTGCGCACCCTGTTAAGGGTTAAAAAGCCCTACTAAGGCAACGGCCTTACCTTCTCCTTGAAGGGGGGCCGGAACGCATCCGACCAGGGAACACAGCCAGGCTGAATCGCCTGGAGGGCCTACATCGGCACACGTGGATCCGCGCATTTGGTAAGATCAGTGTATGCATGGGTGTGTGCGTTACACCTGTGCTTACATCCAGACAAGCGCAATGATTCCGGTAAAACATCGATGTGTGAATATGGGCATGCCAGCCACATGCAGGGGTGATGGCCTCACGGAGGTTGCGGTAACTGTGGACGCGGCAAGGGCAGAAGCGAGCGCCATGTCAGGGTTAGCCATTTGTTCCGTCTGTCCTGTTTGCTATGTGCAGCACTTGCATTTAAACCATTTAGCATCCGCCACCTCATTGACTTGCAATCCGCTTTATTGCGCGACCTACTCTCAGCAGGACAAAATAGATTTCAAGTTTTTGCTACTATCAATTTTGTCTGCCCTATTACATCACAGTACTTAAACACCGCTGATGGGATTGCCATCCAGCGTCGGTCTAGCCACACACCTAACTCCCTCCCCTTCCGTTCTCCATTCCCCCCCCTCCGCATCTCTCACCAGCAGCAATGGCCAGCCGGTCGTGATCTCCTGCTCGAACAATGACGTCACGTGGATGCCCGGGTCCAGACTGTTGAGCCACAACCTCAAGACACGCTCCTCCTAAAACCCAGATTGACGCACGGCAGGATCCCGGGTGGGGTCATTGTCACGTAAAAGCAACTAGTCAACATCTTTTAACGGTACACATGCATGAAGGCGGCGGCTCCTTCCATATAACCAGGTTCAGGTTATGGGCGTGTGATGGGTGGATTCGCGGTCACTTTCGCATACTAGCAATATAATGCTGGCGCCGCTGAAGTCCAACACATCAAGGAAAAAAAGAGCCAATGCAAATACGAAATACCACCTCAGACCGGCGGCGTTTCAAAAGTGCCTAGAGACTAGCGGAGACCACAAGTCCTGAAGCCCTGGCCTGCCCCAAATCAAACCTGGTCTGTGCCTTCCTCATCGTCGCCATCGCCACTCCACAGCACGACCCTAGGCTCAGCGATAGTGGATCGGGGCCGGTCGCCGCCCGTGGGCCCCCCACCGCCGCCAGCTCCTGCCCTGTTATGCTTCTGACGCTGCTGCCGACGAAGCTCTCGCTGCTGGTGCTCTTTTTGAACGAGCAGGTTGTGCTCTGACAGCAGGTCTATGGGAGGGCGGCCACCCATGCTGTGATTCCTTCGGATGGCGGCGGGGCCTCCGGCAGTTGACGCTGCAGGCTCCCGCAGCGGCGGCAGTGGCGGCGCGGGTGATCCCGGCAGAATTTTGCTTGCTGCTGCCGCCGCCGCCGCGATCGCCGCGGCAGCGGCCGTCGCGACCGCAGCATCATCTTGGGAGGCGCCGTCTGCACGACCGGGCGATACCTCACCAGTGCCTACCTGGTGGACGCCGCTGCTACTGCTACTGGTGCTGCCGTCAGCGCGGGAACGCACTGCTCGCGCTGCTGTTGCGGTCATCCCGTCCCGTAGGCAGCAGTGCACCAAGAGCGCACGAGCCAGGAGGAGGGATCGTAGGCCAGGATGGCGGCACTGCAGATGTTCAGAACGCAGAGCCGGCAGCTGAGGCGACCCGTGGGCTGGTACACCGGCAGCCAGAGCATTGGAAAGTGCCTGCGCGACCTCAGCCCAACGCGCCTCCCTCTTGCCACCGTCGCCTACGCCACCATCCACGGCGCTGGGAGGCCTTATCCCCAAACAAGCATGTGCCGGGGCATCAGCATCTTGCGGCAGCGCACTAAGGACATTAAACCCCTCTTGGGTAGCAACACCAGCGGTTCGCGGGCTGCCGCAGCTGCTCGCCGCCCCTGGAGCCGTTCGGGGTACTGCCACTGCAGCGGCATTGGACGTCGTGGTATATGCAGGACCTGAAACAGCTGCCGAACCCGCATCCGACCCCAGGGGCCGGGACAAAATCGCCGCGAGGCCCTCCCACACCTCCAGCCGTATCGGGTCGGGTTCGCTTGTGCAACAGCCAGCGCCCGCGGTGTCGACTGCCGACCCGTGGGAATTCTCCCTGAGGTTGGTACCTGCACCACCGCCACCACCAGTTCCACCGTCTCCGCCGGCGGTGGCAAAGCGGCCTCCGGAGCTTTTGTCTGCGCCCATGTCCTTGCTGGGCCGACCGTTGAACAAATCGGACCCCACATCCGCCTCCGTCCCCATGCTGCTGATGTTGCAGCCTCGTGGGCACGATGCTGGAATCCCAGTGCTCTTACAGGCTTCCAGTGGGGCTGTGCCATTTGCACAAGGCGCGCTAGCGCCGGCGGTGGCCGGGCACAACGCCGCCGACAGTTCCGGTGCCACAGCCGTCATTGACCCAGCGCGCGACACAGTGGCTGGCGTTGCGGGGCCCGATGAAGCAACCGGGCTCGAGCTCGGTTTGACGGGCAGCGCATCAACAAGTTGCAGCACCCAGCACTCAAGTCCAGCCACGGCACGGCGAGCAGCAGCAGTGCCGGGCTGCTGAGCCGAAGCAAAGGCATGTCCTACGTGCTCTACAACGCCGACTTTGGCTGTGGCAGTAGTAGCGCCGTCGCCGTCCCCGCCCCCGCCTTCGTCGCTGCTTCTGTTGCTGTTGCCACTAGATTGGGTTTGGAGGCTGTATTCGACGCCTAGCGCTTGGCAGTTGTGAGACCCTGGCGCAGTCCTCCCCGTGTGCCGAAAAGAGCCGCCAGCCAAGGACAACGATGCAGCGGCTTGGGATGCGGGTGCCGCGAGCACTTGGCGATCTGATGCAGGCAACGCCTGATGGGATGTAATACCGAATTGCAGATATGGGTAGCGCAAGACGGCTAAGCAGTATGTGAAGAATCGGTCAGTGTGGCATGTGAGTTTGGATGTTGCAGCCAATCATACAGGAATGAGCATGCAGGATATGTAAGAAGGGTTACATGCAGACGACGAAAGGAAATGCGCTGGAGGAAGGGCCGTCTATGGTTACGTTCCCTTGTTCGGCCAGAAACGGGATGATGTCGATGACACACCGAGCTGGTATCCATAATAAATGCAAGCGTGATAGGATCCTGAGCTAATGGGCTTGACTCATTTCTTGCGCAGAAGGCTAGGGGCCGATTCATCGCGTAGGATTGCTGCTAGGGCCCCAGGACTGGGCGCGTTCCATGGTATATGCATGGAAAGCCTGAGGAGACATGCATCATAACGTGTGGCCCTAAAGAACATTTCACGCTGCCTGCGCGCGTCCTAAAGCCCTAGATAATCCCCGTCCTGCACCATGCTGAATAAGGATATGCGGAAGTGCACCGCCCGCAACCCCGAAAACCCCTCGTTACCTGTACAGCGGATAGCCTCAAAACCTCCAGGACAAAGTCTGTCAGACAGGAGACCTGTACAGAGAGACCCGGCATGAGTCTGCGTTGAGGGCAGCAGCGCCACGTAAAACCAGCTACGACGTACCTCGCATGCATAAAGCTGCTCGACAGATATTCCCTGCAAATCACACCCCTGTGCATGTGCACAACTGTAGCACAATTGGAAGTTCTCCAGGACGTCGTCAGGGGTAAGTGCTCGAAAGCCGCCGTCGCTGTCGTTGATTGCGCGCTCATCGAGGGAACCAGGAAGCGCGGAACTTAGGAGTTTGCTGCACAAGCATAACGATCGAGTCATCATCAGTCCTAAAAATCGCGTATCGCCGAGCAGGAAACTTTGCGCCTGATTGCAAGGCACGACATCGGACGCCACACCCTTTGCCAAGCAAACCCACCACAATATTGATCCACTCCAGCAGAGGCGCTTAAAAGCTTCCCATGCAAACTCGTTTGCGCGAAAGGAGGCTCCCGAGCTCAAGATTTCATATGCGAAGGTCACCTCAGCAGCAGCGAAAGCACGAAATCTGGCGTCTAAATTCACGGTGCATTCGTTTTCTGGCCATTCAGATGCAGACGGAGGAGAAAGCTTATGGTCAGAGCCCTCTAGCGCAGCTGGCGTCGAGGTTACAAACGAGGAAAGTTCAAGCAATTCGGTCTCTTGCACGCTGCGACGGTTAAATACGCCCATCTCAGTGCATAAATCCTTAGGCTCATTGCTGCGCCGATTTCGCGATGCCCCAGGTGTCTTAGGCGAACGTAAAAGGGCGAGAAGAATCGACATACCGGTCCTTGTTCAGCCTGAACCGTCATCTGAAACTAAATGCGTTTCATGTGCATGAGAGTATGTGTAAAACTGTAACTATTGTGGTCGGGATGGGACAAATACTGAACATAAGCGGACTGTACGTGAGCTTTTGGGCGGGAGCATCGTGGCATTCTTCACATATGGCAGCGTAAGGTCACAAGCGCATCAAGCACAAGATACCATGCAAAGGCTTTGGAGGCTACCACTTGAGGAAGCCCTTGACAGCTGCTAGTTGCAAGGCCAAGACATGCCTCCTAAGCCGTGTTGGACGCTGCATACAGCTGACAAAAACGTATAACGTCAAGATGTGATAGGTTCAGATACAACAAATTGCCCCTGAATGCCTAAGTGCTATGAGGTACGTTCAGCGACCCGGGCCCTATGAAACCCCAACACAGGATGGACCTATCGAAGGCATAAAAAACATCTCTGCATCATGTGTGTGGCGTTACCTATAATGGTAGCTTGCCGACAAAGTAAATTTTGAGTAAATCTACGCGCGTCGTAAGCTTTTGGCTAGATCTTTATGCTGAAGTGATAATTGCTGCTGATTACATCGCGCCAATTCGACTTGCAAGTCGAGGCTGGTTGCAAATCCAAGGGCAAACTGATCGTGCGTGAGCACACCTGGTTTGGTTTACCAGGTTCACTTTTGCAGTTGGGCAGTAGTTGCGTCCTGAAACACAGGAGGCGTCCTAACGCCTAACGTACCCAAGGCAGACCCAGACTGACAAATACATGTAAAACCACTCTCTACCATGGATAGACGGAACTCCATGCTGCCAGGGAAACGAGTGTGTTTCTCCCTTACTTTTTTTGTCCGTGCCTCCCCGCCAGAACCTGAACCTGACAAATTGTGGCCGGTCTCCGAGGACCGGAAAATCTAAATGCGTTCTGACAGAATTGTATTAGACCAAACGAGCTCCTCCTCAGCAAGGGAGCCCCAGAGAGCGCCTCTCATTCACGAGGCACATGCCGGCCATATACGTAGTCCTGAGCACGGATCATGGCCATGGGCGTGGTGGTTCATGCTGCGTAACGACCCGCATACATATACCAGCATGCCATGTAAGGCCGAACTGCAACCTGCGGCTAACCCACATCCTTGAGACCGTTCCTTTAAGATCTCCGACGACCTCAGACATACCTGTGCAAATTCCAGCGGGGTAGCGGTTCCAAGGACAGTTGCAACTCGCCCACGTACTCCAACCGAATCCGGCTATATGCTGAAGCATTCATCCAATTGGGCATCGCGCAGCTCAACATGCGCTGCTACAACCAAAGACCCAAAACGGCCCCGGGCAGTAATCAATGCCGTGACATATACCCTCCACAACAGCCACTCGGTGTCTCCGTTGTGGGGATGGACCCGCGCGTCCGACAGCAAGACGCATGTATCTCAGGAAAATATTTTTTAAAGTCATCGTGCCAGCATTTGCCGGCGCGTGTGCCACGTCCACTCGCGGCCTTCACTCCATGAGTACTCAAGTCAACAGACAGGCTCGGTGATGGCGAATTGCTGGTGGTCCTCATTGGACTGTCAATGATGCCATGCAAAAGAAGGTAGGGCCGCGAAACCGCGACAAGCAACGATATGACAAAAGTTGCCATGGCACGGCACCTGTCGATCCCTTCACCCGCCGGCAGTGCTGCCAAACTGATACTCGCCAAACTAGCTTCACCAGCAGTTTGCAGGCAACAAGTCTTTTTGCATGCAATGTCAAATAGCCAGCACGGAATGCGCGCCCATATGCGCCGCCTCGCCGCTGGCACATCCGCGATTCAACTTCTCTCTAAGCTTGCTATACGCCCCGCTCTTCGTTGGTGCAAGGTGACCAAATCCTATTCTCCAACACTAACTGGACCTCATCCACCCCCACCCAGCTCAGTTCTCGGCTACTTTCAGCTAACATCCATGCCCTCCAGGTGGTTTCCCGCACCGCCGTTGGCATCCACCTCCATTCCCGTGGCTGCCTCTGCTGGTGCAGCCGCCACCGCCTCTTTCCCACTAACCCCATCCACACGAATTTCAGACGGCAGATGCCCCGTCTTCAGCGCCTCCTCCAGTCGTTGAATCTCCTCCAGTGTCTGCGCATTCGCAATAGCGGCCTTGATGGCTATGAGCTGCTCCTGCGACGGTGCCGCCGTAGCTTTCGCCGCTTCGTCATCGCCATCACCTTGCCCATCCTCTTCCGGCCGCTGCTGCTCGCCGCCATTTTCCCGTGGCAGCACCACGCCTGCCTGTTGCTGCGCAGCCGCCAAGTCCTCATCCGGCTCAAAAGTTTTGGATGCATGCGTGGCCTGAGCTTCCTCCGAGGAGAACATGGCCTTCGCCGCGTCGCGCTCCTGAAGCAAAAAAAACGTCAGTCGCCAGCAGGCAATTTTTTTACCAAGGCAAGGGAGGCACCGATGCGTCGCTTTGCACTTGCTACGAAACGGACACACGTTCACGCTGTACCAAAACCTCGTCAATTCAAGAGTTGTGAACCCAACCGTTTCGGAGGCTCCAAGGAGACGCATATATCAGATCATGCGGCCATGGTTGCGCCTCAGTAAATCCCATTTAGGACCATAACCAGCAGCACAGGCAGTAAGCATGCCGGCATAGGTCATGCGACAGTGGACTGACCTTTTGCTTAACCTTCTTGAAGTCCAGGACTTTTAATCGTGGCAGTTTGCTGATGACGTACAGCCTGTTGACGGAACAGAAACATTCGAACAACCATGCGCACGTTATATACACATTTGTATGCCCTAAACAAACAACTTGGAATGCCATCTCGCCCTATCATCCACCTTTTCCCCGGAAAGCGTGGTCCCAAAGCCCGAGCGCCATACTGTGGCTGATGACGGACAGCTGCTTGGGAAAATGGTCCAACTCCCTATGCAACGGCCCTCTCGTGGCGTCCCATCTCAGGACGCATTGTGCACGACGGAGCTGTTCCTTTCGCATGTGCAAGCTGCATCGCAAGAAAACCCAACCTCCAGGAAAACAGCTTATAAATAAAGGACCCGACCGCCAGTTAATCAGCATGCGAATCCATAGCGGCAACCTGAGAAATGACAACGGCGCAGCAAATACGCGCCCACTCATCACGGCTACAACGCCACCCATACTGCTTACGAGGCACCCCTTGCAGTAGCGACCGCTAAACGATGTGACCCAACTGATAGAGCGAAGGACCTTTACGCAGCCGCATCGGTTTTGCAGGCACCGCAACCCCGCCTACCTGTAGTTGGCTTTCGTCATGACCGGGTTCCCGTGCAACGACAGGTGCTCCAGCTTTAGCAGCGTGGCGAGCGGGTCAATGTCCTGCAATGTGCACAGGCCATGCATAAGTGCGTGCTCCGGATTGGGAGCATTAGTGGACTGCGTGTTAACTGGCCAGAGCCAAAAGCTCATCCGTTCCCACCCCAACCTACACACACTACTCCCTAGGCTCACCTGCAAGTTATTTATTCGATTATTGGTCAGGATTAGAGTATCCAGGTTTGGGATGAACTCTGTGGGCCACATGGCAAAGGGCTCGACATCAACGCATTTATGTTTAGGGCCCAGGGGGCCCACGAACACGCGGGTTGCGCAGTCGCCCCACCAACCTTCGAGCCCTCGTGCTATCCTCGCGACGCGGTTGTTATTCATGAGCAACTGCTTGAGTCGCAGAAGCTTTGGGAAGCCATCAAGCCGCACGATAGCGTTGTCCGAGAGGTCGATGCTGTCAAACTGGTTCTGTGGACCACGCCAGCAAAACCAGACTTAGTGCTATAAATTCAACCAATACCCCTACGTGTATATCTCTTAGTATAGAAATGCAGACGGCTTCAAAGCCGCCGGCGGGTGTTCCAACCTTTGTTCCACTTCAACCGCACCTGCGTCGCTCCAAGGTTCTCTATAGCAGCAATCTTGTTGCCTACGAAGAAGAACTGTCGTCCGTAAGGAGAGCCTGCCTCACTAACCGCATGGTTGATCTTGCTTACCGCGAAGGTCAACTTCATACTGTTTTATGCAGCTCATGTACTGAGGACTTCTCATAATAAGCTCTGCCGTAATGCGCCCCGGCAGCCGGGGGCCAACCCCGGCCGCTGGTCGCGCCTCCATGCTCTTTAGCCTATCGGTAAGCCTAGTTAAAGAGTTGCACACATTGAAGCAAAATGACAAATATACCTTCCTATAACCATAGGTTACGAACTGCTGCCCATCGGAACTGTGCAGCTGCTCGGCACATCATTGACCCTCCCGGTGCCGGACGGCCCGTTAAAATGGATTTTGTTAGCTCCAGACTGCAGAGTAACACAACCTTTATTATGAGGTTATTCACACATAAGCCTAAAGTGACTGTAACTGTGAAACAACGTGTTCCGACAACCTGTTACCCAACAGCAGTTGGCTCGACAATCTTTCACCGACAACTGCGAACTACGATGGCATCTTGCAAGTCCATGCCGATCAGTCCTGCAGCATCGGCTGTGTCGAAAGCGAGCTTCAGCCTCGTCTTGGGAGCCCTGACAGGGTCTACCTCACCCCAGGGGTGCTTCTTATCCCCTTTGAGCATTGTATATGCCCTGTCACTAGCTCTGAATGGTGCTGGTAAGTAAATTTTGATGCTCGTTCGGCTTATTGTTTACTAAAGCAAGAAGCATAACTTTTGACGTGACGTTGGTCTCTGCGTCACGCCTTACTTTCCAACCGCAATGCGGCACGCAATAGGCGCACCCGATGCCATCCTATGAAATGTGACGTGTCTTAGGGTCCGCTGAGGACATCTGGGTCCGCGTTAGAAGCCAGGGGAAGCCAGCACATGTGAGCACATACGTCGGCTTATAGCCTTCTTCCAACTTCTCCCTGACAAATGAGCCCCAGACGCGCTTAAATTAATGTCCGCCTTGGCTTCAATCCAGTCCAATCATGACTTTCATGATACGCTACTAGGAACTGAACAGGCCATACTTCGTTTTCCGCCTGGCCGTTTCCGTGCAGGTCCCAAGTCGCCCACTCACGCAGAGCTGTTGCGCGTCATCGCCGGGGATAATGGACACGTCTCCGAGTCCGAGCTCAACTCGGAACTCGGTCGCGCCATGGCGCTCATGAACGGGCAGTGCGCCTCTAAGAATGGGCCAAGCTCCGAAATGGTCCTGGCCAACAGCTTATGGACCCGTGGTATGACACTGAAGAAGGCTTACGTGGACTCCATGAAGTCCCTGTTTCAGGCACGATAATTGGTTGGGTACGATTTTGGTTGAGAACGAAGCGGCAGGGCGGTCTTACTGCGGATGCATCAATAGCCGGGTGGGAGGCTGAGCTTTACTTGGATTTGCTTGCGGATATGGGGCCTGTTGGTAAGGCAAGGGCGTCTTTTTGCGCGCCAAGGACAAGAGGACAGTACGAAAGGGTTCAGGCCGCATCAACCCTATTGCAGGGCCGGGGGCTGTTCGCGCCACAGAGGACCGTTCCAGAGCTCTGGAACGCCAAAGCTGTATAGCTGCCCATGGAATCTAACCTCTACTAGCCTTCGCCTTTTCAGAATGGTGGCGCTGGCCCGCTGCCACCACCTGTCTAAAATGCCGTCCTCTTCAATGCACCCGCCGCACGGTTCTGGTGCCGAAGGGAGTTCTTGCTGTAATGCTCCCTTCGCGGCCTTCTCTTCGCCCTCTGACAAACGTAACATCAACCCGACACACAGGCTACCGCGAGCGAGGCGATCAACGGCGCAAAGGACATTAACGACTGGGTGGAAGGCGCGACCCGCGGCATGATCAAGGACCTGATCCAGACCGAAAAGTAAGGTGGCCCCTGAGGATGGGCCTCCGCGCAAAGTTACCAAAGGTTCAAGACGATCTCATGTACGTCCATGGGCCCCCCGGCTTTTACGGACACACCCGCACTTGTGTGCGGAACTTGTAACTTGTACCGCCTTCGGAAGATCGCGGCTACATCTCTTCCTTGTTGTTGAGAACCGCTCTCTTATGTGCTGCTCCTTACACGGTAGACATTTAAAAAATCTTGCCGAAGCCCTGTCGGCCCCGTGTCTTGGGATGGGGTTATTAATTGAAGGACCCTGCGCTTTTTGCCGGGGTAAGTTGCCTGGGTTTACCTGGGGATCCAGTGCTGCGTTTGCTTTAATCAGAAGGTTTGCGTTTTCCAGTTCTCGCCTGTTGCAGAATTCGTTTCAGAATTCGTGCTTCAGGAAATGCCTATTGCCGTACTAGTTTTACTATATTGCCGTACTAGGTTTACTACATTGCCGTACTAGGTTTACTCTATTGCCGTACACTGATTCATACTTACTGATGCGTCCCTGGCACTGCATGCTCGCAACCCTACTGCGGATGCGATACGCACAGCTTCCATGCTGTACTGGCCAACGCCATCTACTTCAAGGGGCTTTGGGAGCACGCCTTCAAGCCCGAGTGAGTCCTCTCCACTGACGCCGCAGGCATTCGGAACACACGGCTTTGGGCAATGTGCACAACTGTTGTGATTTGGGTCACGGTTTGGAACCGGCATGGTACACGGGGCGGCTCGATTTAGGGGTCATCCCTGCACCTGACACGGCCCCATCGGTCTGCTGACCTTGGGGTCCTGCAAAGCCCCTTTCATAGCCCCTTATGCACAACGTCTGCGCATTAATGAACGATGGCTGCCTAGGCAGCAGTCCGTGTGGCTTATCACGAAGTTTTCTCCCTTGGAAGTGCGGATCCCTCCTGTGCGGCCGTCCCTGCAGCCAGCTGGGAGAGGCCAGGTGAAATGTCAAGGAAAGGAAAGGGTGTCACCTAGTTGCTTGCCTCTTTTTTGGCAGCTCTGCGGGGGGTAAAAGCACGGAGTAAAAGCTGGACCGATTCCCAACCGAACCTGGACTCAAACTCGGAGCCGAATTATTCGCTGCTGCTGCTGCTGCTGCTTTTCCTTTAGGCTGACCCAGCAGGGCGAGTTCACCACGCACAGCGGCCAACCTAAGATGGTGCCTATGATGCATCAGCTGTTCGATGGCCCGGCCAAGACCTTGAAAGGCGTACGCAAGGAAGGCCTATACGATGCAATCTCATTGCCATACAAGGGCGACGTATTTAGCGCGGTGGCGCTGCTGCCCGCCGTGGGTGTGGACATGGCTACGGCATTCGAGGACTGGGCGCGCGGACCGCAGGTGCGTGGGTGCGGATGGCGCATGTGGGGTGTGGGGTTGGGATGGGGGATCTGGGGCGAACGTGACAGGGCTGACAGAGGAAGGAAATCTGGAGTAGATATGTGCGGCGCTCTCTGTTGAATAGTTGTGCAGCGCAGCTACAGCAGTTGATCTTGCGTGGCGGCACGAAAGCGGTTTCAGGGAGACGGAAATGTTACGAGGGAAGCGCGGTGCAGGTAACACGATTTTTCCGCAGGACGTCTGTTTCCTGCGGAGATTTTTTTCACAAAGTCTGATGCGGCTTCCATATTGGTGGAGTGCAGGTGTACTGGTGTAGATGCAAGGGGATTTCGTGCAATGGGACGTGCTCACGAGTCAGGGATATAGCCGCATTCATTCGGCCGCCCGCCTATCCGTTCGTGGTGTCTGCTGTGCTGCGCAGGAGTTCCAGCCCATCCGCCGCGTGAAGATTGTCATGCCCAAGTTTAAGGTGAGCTCTCAGCTGTCGCTGAAACCGGTGCTCAAGGAGATGGGCGTGGAGGTGGCCTTCACTGTAGCCGCCGACTTCACCCGCATGGCGGACGGCGGCCTGTTTATCAGCGACGTTGTGCACAAGGTGAAGGCTGGGCGGGCGTGATTCGGAAGAAGCTGCACGGGATGGGTAGAGAGAGAGAGGAGGCCCTGCGCCTTCTTCGTCTTCCTTTTTTGCTGCTTATGCGCTTCCGCATACCCTCCCCCGCTGTACATGTTATGTGGATGTTTACTTTTTCCCCGGTTTATACGCACGCCGTTTCCTTCGTTACTTGATTACCACAATTGTTTGCCATGCAACGACATCGATGTATAGATTAAGCTGTTGCACCAAGATGGAGAATGGTGAAGACTGGACACATCATGTTGTTATCATGCATGCAAAGCGACCCATGGGTCGCTCCCTGATCTGGCCTCCCAATCAGCCGATCACCGAGACGGCTAGAGCAGGTCGGATGCCAAGTCGCGCCATGTGCAAGGGCCGCACGTGCATGTCTGGGGTGTCCCTGACCACGGTTCCTCATTTGATGCTCACTCTGGCTTTGCTTCCACCACTGCCTTCGCTTCCGCATCCCACAGGCCGTCGTGGAAGTAGACGAGGAGGGCACGGTGGCAGCGGCCGCCACGGCTGTCATGATGCTGCGTTGCGTGCCCGCGCCACCTGAGGAGATCATTTTTAACCGGCCCTTCGCCTTCATGATTTACCACAACCCCACAAACTTGCCGGCGTTTGTTGGTGTAGTTCACGATCCAGTCGCCGCATAGGCTGCGGCTGCCCGTACTTGTGGCAATCAGGATAGGGGAGGGTTGGGGTCAGGTTTGGCCAGCCAGCCGCACTACATGTTCAGGGAGCTGCATTCAAACTGCTTTCCTGAACTGCGACATCGTCCTGACTCGTTGGGGCTTGTAAGACACAATCAGGCTGTACGCGTAGTTGTTGAAGGAAAACTTCCTCTTTGCACATGGTTGATTGCTGACGTTATCTCGTTGCGGTTGTTGCTGTAATTGTGAGATAATAATTTCATAGCTTGGTAAATGCAGCGATGGAGCATATGTACATTTGTGCCAGTGGAGCAGCTGTGCGTGTTGGTGGTTGAATAATACTTTTCGCCCTGTTTTGCGTGCTGATTTTGATGCGCTCATACTATCTCAGAGCTGATAAGCATCCTGAATAGACGGTAACCTCCTCTCCGGTTTCGCACTAAGGGTGCTAAGCTAAGGGTGCCAAGCTGCACTAAGGGCACTAAAGCCCCCTAGCTGGGGCCTCTACAAGTTCTCGGATCCAATGGACCCGGCTAGATGCGTGCATGTTTGGATGGCAGCGCACCAGACCGGCAACCGGGAGGGTCATTAACAACACCGCTGAGAATTTCTGTGCGTCAATAATGTACAGTAAATAGAGCATGCTTTGTAATTGCAGTTTGGAGTATTTGGTCATAATGCTGGCAGAGCAAATAGTTGCGGACGCGGACGGCAGCCAGTATCGTACACATCAGGGACAGCCAGTGACAGCTGCAACGGTCGTGATGTTGACTGCGCACATAGGGCACAATACCGTCTATATATAAGTAGTAGAGACAGCATTATGCCAGATGACATCTTGGCTTTTGGCTCTGTTATTCTGTGTGAGTTTGGGGCACTATGACACTTCTATGTAATGACCATCCCGCTGAAACGCTGCAAGGACAATGGTGCCAAGTGGGCTGGTGGCGCTGCCAGAGCATGTAACTGCTAGACAGCACGTCGATGGCGACACATAGATACCAGCCAACAGATTGGAACCCTATTTATTCTTGGTAGCCCCCAGACTACCCTGAAAGCCCCAAAACGTCATTCGGTTTACGGACTGCGGACCCAGCTGAAATCACGCCAATGTGCCCTTTAGGATGGCTCGGCATAGGCCCGAAGAACCTCTTCCTGTACGTCACCGTCAAGGCTATCGCCTCGCCAGCCGGACACTCCCACACCGGGTTACAGGAATTCGTGTGGTTCCCGTCGCCCCTTGGGAGTACAAACAAAGCACACAGTCCACAAACCTATACAAAAGATAGTCCATGCATGGCGGTTCAACTTGTTCATCCTATTTCGGGCACTTATGCGAGCTAACGATTGTGGTGCACCACGTGCCTCCGTACAGCAAACCACATCTTTGCCCCCACTCAAGCACACGACAAAGGGCTGTGATGCAGCCTGTGTCTGGATTAAGCTGGGAAACCCCGTAGCATACAGACAGCCCTTTGGTCAGATCAACAAGAAGTTAAAACCTCGGTGAAGTTTAGGTGCACCCGCCAGAAGATCGAGGGTGTAAATCAGGACCACGCCATCCCTCCGCTGCCATGACCAAGCCACGGTGCTGCAGCCCCATGGCTGCTTGCGCGCTTTAACTTGATAAGCTGTAGAAGACATCCAGACGGAGGACAAGGCAATAAACCCTCCGAAGGTGGGAGGATCGGCCGCGCGAGGCCTCCCGCCCAAACTGCTTACTCCCCAGACCTGCAACAAATAGAGAGAGCACAGGGAAGCTCACGGGCTAAACAAGTAACAAATATAACTTGCTTACATCTCCCTCCCGACGTGCCTATATATGAAGCCCTGTATGTGGTAGCCGGTGCTCACTTTGGCATTTTCTCGCCCGCCTTGATGAGCTCTTGGAGCTTAGACAACACCACTGTCGTGTCTGCCCCTTGCACGCTCAACGCTTTTTCGACTCCATAATCTACAAGGACAAGCAGCATGCGCGGGTCACAGGGGGAAAAAAGACATATCTGCGACGGTTTGGTGCGTTTCAGTACACACCGTAACGGGCAATGAGCTTGGCCTCCGCTCCCGCGCACTCCCGCACAAGAATGGGGAAGTGCGGGTTTGCTTTCTTCATCTCCGCGTAGTTAGACACAACGAACTCCCTGAAGGTGCAAACATGACCTTAGCCATCGTCGGATGGAACACTGCACGATTTCCATACATGTGGGGCTAACCTGACACCCTTGCTCGCTTCGGACGCCTGGCAAAGGTGGATTCTGCAGCCCGCGGAGAGAGCAGCAGCTCAAGGTTCCGGTAAGGGTCCTACATCAACACCTTCTCCGCGATGGGCTAAATTTCTTACCTAAGCTCCTGCATGCTCTTAGACAAAGCGTTGCGCCAGGCCATCTTTAAGGACTGCAGACGCCTGCTCAACACGGGATACCGGCCTACTAATCAATCCACAAGAGACTGCTAACTAAGCTATATAAGCACTTTCTCCTCGAATGCACCACAAGCAGAGTATTACGCTCCTTTCAAGCACTATGCCTTCCCAATGCATTTTATTAAGTCGCCGTACTGCTGTACAAGTTCTTTCTTGCATAGCTGCATTCACAGATGCCCATGTCTTTTGTTGTTACTGGTACTTTTTTTAACATCCTAGCATTGTAACTTTCAGCAAGGCAACGATTGCCAAACCCAATCTTGCCGTCCGCCGTTTAGGCTTTAGCCGTTCGCTTTGAGGCACAATGGGCAAGATGAAGAAAACACGCAAGTTTGCCGAAGTAAAACGGCTACTAAACCCTAAGGATGCCGAGTACGTTTGCTTCCAGAACGGCGCTGCCGCCCTTCGCAGCAACATGACAACATTCAACTTTGCGCAGACCGCCTGCTAAACGCCAGAAGACCGAGAAGAAGGAGGAGGAAGTGCGTCACGTGTAAGTTTTGTGGGGGCTTGGCCACGACGCAGCGGCAGCTTTGGCGCTATGTTGAGGCTGCGCCAACTGGTTGACAACCCAACCTCCCCCTGATCCGCGCTAACTCCCGTCCCTTTTCCCCATCATCTTTCATGTCGCTACAGCGAGAAGGTATCGTCGGCACTTTTCTTCCGTTACAACACACAACTAGGTCCTCCGTACCAGGTTCTCGTGGACACCAACTTTATCAACTTTTCCATCAGGAACAAGGTGGGGCCGCCCACTTAAACCGATGAGCTAACTTGCTTTCCGATCCGCGCCTCTGACTGCTGCCTCTGCGGCTTATGGATCTCCTCTGCGGCTTATGGATCTCCTCTGCGGCTTATGGATCTCCTCTGCGCCTTGCTTCTCTCCATCACAACCATACCAGACGACGTCTACCCACCTTGCCTTACATGCCAATATCCCACGCCCCAAGCTATAGCGGCGCGTCTCAGCATTATCTTCTTCTTACCTACATCGACTTTTGTGCCTTAAGGAATTCAAAACCCATATCTCTAGCTTTTTGGCTAAATCCGCGCTTGTCGTTCTCTGGGCTAAAGCACGCTCTCCATCCGGTCTGCATCGCTGTGCTGCCGACCAGCACCTCATGCAATCTACGAGCAACGTAGTTATTGCCACATCCATCCCATGAATCCCCTTTACGCAGATTGACCTGGTTCGCGGTATGGTGGACTGCCTTTACGCTGAGTGCAAGCCCTGCATTACGGACTGCGTCATGGCTGAGCTGGAAAAGCTCGGTCAGAAGTACCGCGTGGCACTCAAGGTGGCAAAGGTGGGGCGTCCGTACGCGAACGTAGCGACAGCAACAGCGGCAACGGCCATGGCCCGCGGCACCGGTATTTCTGGTGACTGCCACACAGCAATTCAGCATCGCGTAGCGTTAACTTTAACTTCAATGAGGAGCTTCGCCTAGAGCCCAGACCCAAACTAATCCTCGCGCCTTCTGCTGTGTACTCTCTGGCCTCCTCCCAAGCCACTCGTTTCCGTACCACCTTTCGTAGGACGCTGCACTGTGCTATTAGCCTGACGCTGTCTTTGTCAACCATGCAACAAATCAGGATCCCCGGGTGGAGCGACTTCCCTGCAGCCACAAGGGCACGTACGCTGATGACTGCATCTGCCAGCGGGTGCAGCAGCACAGGTGCTACATTGTGGCCACATGCGATCGGGATTTGAGGCGCCGCATTCGCAAGGTGTGAGATTATATTATTTGGACGTGAAGGACGAGGGCTGCGTCCCAGGAGGCGAGCAGGGGGGTAACTGGATTTGAAAAAGCGGTTCTCATGGCTCGGTATGACCCAGAAACGCGACCAGGCTAGAGAGTTTTGCTCACAGGGAAAGGCAGCTGGTTCGGTTCTGTGTGGGACTGGATTGGCAAGGCGAGGAAAACAAGGGCGCATTGGGGTTTTGCACGCCCTGGCGTGCGTTAGGGCCGGGGGGAGGTAATGGGAGGGGAAGACAGGCTTTGTTGATAGGGTGTAAGTATTGATGTTGTTATTGCATCTGTTATGTAGGTATGTGATAGATATTGTGTGGAAGGTGGTATTTCGCCTTGGTCCCCTCACCGCGGGTGTATAAGGGGGGACAACCTGCTGTTTGCGTATTCTCCTACGGAGCCCCGATTGTTGAAGGTGCTTGACGCTGTGTCCCCGTGCCCCCTTGCTGGGCCCCACAGATTCCTGGTGTTCCGATCATGTACCTTCAGTCGCATCGCTACACGATAGAGCGGCTACCGGAGGCTACGATGGGAGGTGCACCCCGGACGTAGAAGAGCGACTCACGAGCCAAAGGACTGAGGATTGCCAAGTTATTAATGGAATGGAAGAGGATGGTTGGGGGAGGGATGGGGGGACAAAAAATTGTTTGTGATGGGGCTTCAGGGGGAAGTGCTTCAAGTGGGCCGGTGGGGACGAGGTATATCACGAGCGACGGGGATGAGTGGGCGGTAAGGACGGGATAAAGTTACAAGTTCCACACACACGTGTAGGGGTGTTTGTGAAAGCCAGGGGGCCCATGGACAGAAGAGGGGGACAAGAGGCCCCCGTTCGGGGGGAAGGCCCATCAGGACGGGGTTGGATGGCCTCCCATGGATTTGTCGTAACATGGACTGTATGTTTCTGTCCTGGCTTGGGATTCTGGTTATTGGATAGTGCAACGGACTGTAGGCTGCTTGCTTCAAGGGGGAACACGAGTTTGTCGTACTGTCGCGTATCTAGGAGCCAAGAGTGAAACACTATGCGGCCGTCTGTACTGGATATGGGCATTATTTTGATGATGGGTTTGCGTCTGTTTTGCGCACCCAGGGATGATGGACCATGGGCTCTTTTTACAAGTCCCGCGTTTGCAGCGTTACGGGTCGAATGAGCAGGCGGGAACATCCAGCTGTGTTGCCTGAAAGACGCTTATGTCAAAGTACAATCGTTCAGGCAAAAGTTTAGAATGTAATAACCTTATGCCGGATTTGGTGTGCCTTTCTCACTTGGACATGCCACCAAGAGACAACAACGCTCAAAGTTTATTGCGGTGGTCTGCGTTCTGTTTGCAGCTTCAAATGTCAAGGCTTGCTTTAATAAGATATAGGCTGCGCACTCACGGGTGTGTCGTTGCTAAGCGGGGAGCTGTCACGGAGCAGCTGTGGTTACAGACCTGCATATAATATGACGCCAGCAGCAAATCGGCGGGATTACACCTCGCAAACTGGCGGCAGGCCGGGGCAGATAGCGGAGTCTAATGAATTGGGAGCTGTGAGTTCGAAAAGCGTAGTGCTCCGGCGGCCAGCAATCGCTTCGGACTTATTATTAACGCTCAAATCTGTGATGATTTTTCAAGGATCCGGGCTGGCATGTTGTGGACGCTCGTCATGGGAGGTCTGGGCGGTCATGGCCGAAGCTGTTCAAGCAGCTTACAAAGTAAGAGGGCTGGTTAGGGGACCGTCGCCGTGCTCTTGTTGCATGCGATAATATGCATAACCCTGGGTAGGGGTCAGGCTGGGGAGGGCGGCACCCCCCTCTGCTTCCGGCGGTGTTGGCACCACCACTGTTCTCGCTCCCTGTCTCCCCCTTTCCCTGGTCCCCCGTCATTCAAGCTGAAGAGGCGCAGCCCTTTACATTCCAAGCACATCCATCCACGCATAAAGATACTGTTCAAATCAAGCTATGCTTCCCCCCCAAATCCACGCTCCCTTCTATAACCACGCATCCTCAAGGCATATGCCTCTCACAGGGCACGTCCCCCTCCGAAACCTCTGCCTCAGGACACTTGACGACATCTACCTCACGTGCGAGCTGAACTGCTCGCTGAGCCATGTAGCCGCCATGGAGGAGTACCTAGCGGCGTCAGCGGGCGACTTTGCAGAGGTACGGTAAAAGCCCGCGAGCAGCACACAGCACAACGCAGCACCCCGCACGGCATCGAATAACCTGTCCCGCAGGGCGATGGACAGGGCAAGGCAGGGCGCGCAAACACGCTGCATCTGGCAGTGCTCGGATCCCCGAGGCTCCGCTAGGCCCGCGGCGATCCGCTTGGCTGCGGAGTGTGGTGGTTTACATGTCCTTGTGAAGCACTGCCATCTGAGGCTAGGGAGGGCTACACCTGGTCCCCACTGCTGATGTAGCTGCTGCTGCTGCTGCACGTGGCCACACGTCATCACGTATTTCCCCTGCCGGACACAACTCAGCCTTCCATATCTGCCGCGGCCCACAGCCGCCCTCCCGCCCGCACTGCTCAACCTACCCTGCCGCCTGCCGACCCGCAGCTGCGCGCCCAGTTGGAGTCCGTGGTATCGCCAAGCGGTCAAAAGGTCGCCTGGGAGGTGCGTTCCCCCTCTTGCGCGTACGTGCGTACGTACGTGCTTGCGTCCGGGCATGCATACATGCATGCGGGGTTCCAATGGGACATCTTAAGACCACTTCCGGATGCCCAGCGCCGTTTCCCACACGTTACCGATAGGGCGATAGCTAAGCACGACGACACGTGCATTTTCCCTTTGCGGCATCTGTCTGAGGCAGAGGCATTGACGTGCCGGCCGGCTGCAGCGACGACCTGGTAGTGGCGGTGACGGTGGCGGTGGTGGTGTCATGTGTGTCATCTATGCATTCCTTGCGGGGTTCACATCTCCCTGTATAGCTCGCTGACTGGCAGACTAGCTGGCTGTACGTGATCATAGCCAACAAATGCGTGCGTGTGTGTTTCTGACGCTCAGGATGGGTCCTGCCGCAGCGGCCTGCTGCCGTCAGCCCCAATCCACGCGCCAACTGACAGTAGCCTTTCCTCCAACACGTATAAAGAGATAATTACTGCAATACTTTCGGCCTTGCATGCCCGTTTCCGTACGGGCCCGTGTGAACGCGCTTACATAAACACGCACACACGCGCGTGCGCGCGCGCGGTCGCGCACAGGTGCGGACGTGTAGGAGGGCCAGCAACCGCAGTCCCCGCATCGGCACCTTCGCCGGCGGAGGCAGCGGAGGCAGTGGGGCCGGGCACAGCGCAGCAGCTCGGATGCAGGTGCCTTTCAACGCCACGGCAGCCGCTGCGGCTGCAGCGGCCGCAGCAACGGCAGCGGCGGCGGCGGCGGCTGCCGATGCTGCAGCCCCAGGAATTCCGGCAGCGGTGCAGGCGGCGACGGCGGCGACAGCGGCGGCGGCTGCCGCCGCCGCAATCCACGGAATGGGGCCTTCATATGCGCAATTGCATTCGGAGGCGTTTCTGGGGATGATGCGGCGCGTGGTGAGCTGTGGCGGTGCGCCGGGCTGGCGCGGTGAAGGTGTCGCAGGTGTGTGGCAGGGGTCCCCTGGTTCATTGGTGGCATGACCCACGGGTCATTTTGTGACCCCTGGCTTGCTGGCATGACCGTTTTCCATTGATGAAATAGGAAGATCTAAGAGGACTGACTCATTTTATGACCCACGGGCCATATCGACCCGTGCCAGGACTGCCGTCAAAAAAAGGTTCTCCTTGTTATATTGGGGACGGAGGAGCGAATGCGCTGTCACCCGCACGCACATGCAGCAAGCCGCAAGGCAAGGACATGGGTTTTTCCTCCTTACGTTGGTGCTTCTCACTCCTAATGACGCTCTGACACGCGCGCGGTGTTGTGGGACACGTGGCCCATCGGCGATGACTTTGGCAGGGTCACCAGCCGCGACGGGTTTCGGAGCCAGCGAAGGTGGCATTGGCGTTCCTGCCGCCGCCGCCGCCTCGGCGGCTGCGGCTGCGGCTTCGTCCGACGCGGCCCCATGGAAAGGGAAGGTGAACTGGAACGAGCTTTTTACGCGGCAGCAGCAATCACAACGGGAACACGACCAATATCAACAACTACAATCCCACCAAAAGCCGCAGCAGCAACAGCAACAACCGTCCAGGCCGGGGACATCGCAAAGGACACATCACCACCTAGGTGAAGGGCCAGCGGGGCAGGCAGCGGCCGCAGCGGCGGTAGCAACTGCTGCCGGCAGCGGCGGCGGCGGCGGCAGCGGCGGCGGCGGCGGCAGCGGCGGGGGTAGTAGCTTTCGTCTAGGGTCGGCGCCACCGCCGCCGCGGCTTAAGATGACGTCCGCCGCTGCCGCCAGTGGCGGCGGCTGTAGCAGCAGCGGCGACGGGGTTTTGGCCAGCAGTGACAGCTGTTTCAGCCCCTCTGGCGGCCCCCCCAGCCCGCTGGACTCCTTACATCACAAAATACTTTCCTCTCCCAGTGAGTCGTGAGCCCCAGGATTGGGGGCCCCATACCCCCTACCTGCTTGCTATAGGTGGTGACGCCGCCTCCATCACGTGCAGTGATCACGTACTTGATTGCTTTTGATTTTTATTGCTATTGTTTTAAGTAATAACGCGCGAAGGCTTTGCGAGTAATTAAGGGCGGGCAGACGTGGCTTGAACGGGGTGTTGACGAGTAATTGCTGTTCGCTCCTGGTGGCTCTTGGGGACGACTTCCGTGAGTGTGTGGAAAGTGGGACGATGGGTGGGACGGTTGTGCCACACGCATGACGTGTGGTGGTGATGGGTGGATGGAAGGAAGGAGGGAGGGCACTGGGGGAATGGACAGACCGAGGGAGGGCGTCTCCCACCCACCCTCACCGGCCCACATGTATATGTAGATTATACACACAAACACACACACATCCCACCCCCTGGGGGAGGAGAGCGGAGGTAGCGGACCTGCAGCTTTCGGTTGCTTTAGGAGGGGGCAGAGGCCCCTCGCGCCCCTCTTCCGTCCGAGGGAGAGAGCTTAGGCGGTCTTTCCGTTGGGCCTGGGCAACAGCCCCTGACCAGTGTCAGGCCCCGTCAGATACTTGTTAACCTTCACACACATACGTACACACACATACAGACACACACACAGAAACAAACACACGCGTGCGCGGGAACACGCACGCACTTCTCTCTCAGTTTATTTCTACACATACTCATACTCACACTCATACTCATACTCATACTCGTAGTCATACTCACACTCGCACTCACACCCGATTGCGCGGTGGCGCTGAGGGCCCCAGGTCGCAAGCTGTCCCCCTCGGAGGTGCGCAGAGCCAGTGAGCAGCGGCAGGCGCGTGCGGAGAAGGCCCGACAAGCCATGGTGGAAGAGAAGCTGGCCCGCCTGGCGCAAGCAAACCAGAGCAGACAGACCGTCAAGTCCTTGATGGTGGGTCCTACGGGTTCGGCGGTTGGCTCCGGCTGGGGCTACAGACCGCACAGTGGGGGGCGGTGCGGTACGGATAACTTGATCCGGTACCATAGGTTGGGTACGGTACGGTACGGTACGGTGCATTCCGCGGGCAGGGGATGGTGGGAGGGAAGAGAGGACGGCACTGGGAGAAAGGAATGAGCTGGTTGACGGTCCCTCCCTCACTCCCCAGACGAACTTAACTACCAACTGCCGGTCGGCAAAGTTTTTTCTCTGTAGTCAGTGAGTTATACTGTTGGTTGTTTCAAATTGTCATGTTGGGCAGCGACTCATGTTGTCCTCCTGGAGACAGCGTTTTCTGAGGTCTTTTGGCTGCTCAATTCTTTGAACTGCGGGTAGGCAACGGCAATTTAATGGTGTCTGCAATCTTCTTACACATTTCCTTTTCGTCCGCCTTTTCCATTCGCACCGATATCCTTCTGTTGGTACTTTTCTCTACGGCATGATGTCATTCACCACACCCGTACACGCACCAACCGAACAAACCGAACCCATGCAGGAGGAGCGGGCAGGCGCCATCGCGGCGCGTGTGGACAGCAAGATTGCTCGCAGTGCGGAGCTACGGCAGGCGCACTTGGCAGAGCGAGTGCAGAAGGCGGTGGAGGAGACGAAGAAGGTCAGAACTTCAGAGCCTCAGAGAGAAGGGGAGGGGGAGAGAGGGGAGGAAGTGAAGTGCAGTGAACAGCGCCTTCACGCCTGGAGGCCTCGGAGAGGGCGGGAGGGGAAAGGAGGGGTAATATACATACCGTACTCTGGCCACGGAACGACTTCCGTACTGTGCCGTACTGTTACCCGCACTGCCCCTGGAAACGAACGCCCACCTCCGCAGGTGGCGGAAGTGGCGTTCATCAACCAGATGTTGGAGATGGATAAGAAGCTGGCGTTACAGGAGAAGCTGGAGGAAGGTGAGGAGGACTGGCGTCTTGCCTCGTTACGGCCTCCCCTTCCTACGATTGCTTTTCTTGGCTTTCGCACCATATCATCATATGGCCATGTGGCGTTACACTTCTCTGAGTAACGACACCGAGACGTGACATACACGCACAATACGACTCCTCCCTCTGCTCCGCTTCGTTGTGTTGGCATCACATGACTCCCACCCTTCCTCCACACACAAGCACACGCAACACACACAAACACACACGCAAACACTCCAGGGACGTCTGAAGTTGTTTATTCTTGAGTCAGCACGTGATTCCCTCTTCGGCCCCGTTCTTCACCGCCCACCAGGCGAGTCCCGGCGCAGACAAGCCCTTGAGGCGCTGCAGCAGCGCGGCAAGGGCGCGGCGGCCGCAGTGGAGGAGGCGCAGGAGCGGCGCAAGCTGTTGGAGGTGCGCGGGGGGGGGGGGGAGGTGATGGGATGAAGCCGAGAGAGCGCTTGTTCCCACCTGTCTTCCTGAACGTATGTCTGTCTTACACCTCCCCACCTCTCCTCTTCTTTCCTTTTTTTTACACCTCCCCACCTCTCCTCTTCTTTCCTTTTGTTTTACGAAATGTTGCCTGAAGTTGAAAAAAATCTCTATACCTTAAATTTCTTATCCATCATTTTCTCTCCCTCTCCGTCTCACCTGCTAGCACGTTTTATCTGGGCCCGAGACCTCTCCTTCGTCGATGTCCTCTCTTTCCTTTGGCTTTCCTTTCCTTTCGTCTCGCCGTCACCGTCAGCGAAAGACGGCCTCGCCTCTCGCAAACCTCTCTCTCTCCACCCTCCATTGACCGACACACTTCCTCTCAGGCGGAGCGACGTGAGCAGCTGGCGGACCGGCAGCGGCGTAAGATGGCCGCACAGGTGTGTGCGTGTGTGTGTGCGTGTGTGTACTGTCATGTGCTTGTGCGGTTGTAGAGGAGGAGGCGGATTTAAAAAAATCCGGGGCAAAAGGAAGTCGGGGCGGGGCCGGGTGGACGAGCGTCGCTACTCGCTCTACCTGTTTTTGCCCGTGGGTGGGGGGAACGACTCGATCTGTCCGAGACCTGGGCCACAGCGTGTGTGCTTCACACCATACCCACGTGGGGTACATACATACACACACAACACACATACATTAGACGGCCGTATATTTCCCTATTAATGTTCGGGTTGCATCTTCTTCCTGTTCGTCGCCCTCCTATCCCCTCATTCCACACCAACCCCTCCAGGCCTCTGCTCCCCTGCCCCCTGCCCCTGTCTCTATAGGCCAAGCTAGAGGAGGAACGACGGGCTGCAGCAGCGGCGCGTGAGGCGGCCAGCCGGGCACAGCGCGCCGCCGCCGCGCAGGTTGCCGAGGCGCGCCAGCGCCTGCGCGACGTGCTGTCCATACGGATTGAGGAGCGGTTGCGTGAGGCGGCTGCGAGGAGGGCTCAGCACCTGGAGCTCATCAAGGAGAGAGCCGCGCTGGGCAAGGTGGGGCCAGCGGAGTGATGCTTTGAAACTGGCGTGGCTCATTTTAAATGACCCATGCTGGGCTCAGCTCCGATTTCCCCAAGATCCAAACTAATCCTCCGGGGAGTTGCGGGTTGGGTTGTGTGGGGAAGTGAATTTCTGCGACGTCTCAAACACCGTATACAGGAGGGTGGTGGTGGCTTTCATGCTTTAATATTTTGTTATTATTGCACAGGACCTGTACGAACGCCGTACAATGGACGGCAACACGACGTCGCCGCGCTCGCCGCAATCGCGGTACACTCGGCCGCCGTCACCGGAAGTGGCGTCCGCGGGCGCCGGCGGGCACACGGCGGCGGCCGCGGCAGCGACGCCGCCGCCGCTGGGGCGTCCTGTGACGCCGCCTGGCGGCGGCGGCGCCGCGGCCCGTGCGGCTTCTTCGGGCGCTCTGTCCGCTATCGCCGCCGCCGCTGCTGGCGGCGCCGGCGGCCTGTTGCCTTGCTCGCCGTCAGCGCTGTTGCCCACGTCGAGCTCTAACGCGGGTGAGTTTAGGGCCCTAGGTGTGTGGGGCACCATGCCCTCCTCCTTCCTCTGTCGGGCGCACAGCCCAGGTAGCCCCGAACTTGGCAGGATGCACCAGTAAGGCCAGCACACCAGCACATAAAGCACACCAGCACATAAAGCACACCAGCACATAAAGCACACCAGCACATAAAGCACACCAGCACATAAAGCACACCAGCACATAAAGCACACCAGCACATAAAGCACACCAGCACATAAAGCACACCAGCACATAAAGCACACCAGCACATAAAGCACACCAGCACATAAAGCACACCAGCACATAAAGCACACCAGCACATAAAGCACACCAGCACATGAAGCACACCAGCACATAAAGCACACCAGCACATAAAGCACACCAGCACATGAAGCACACCAGCACATAAAGCACAACTCGGGCGTCAACCACCGCCTCTTTGACTGACCCCTTTATACGCCTCCACTGCGGTCGCTTTCACACCTTCACAGCACTCTGCCGTGCCTAGCACAGCCACACCCTATCCTGCCGTCTTTTTGGATTAAACTGATGTGACAGTGGCTAGATGATGCTAGGTGATGACAGTGCTTGGCTGAATTGCCATGGAATCTCTTCCTGAACGCAATCACCTGTCGCGCCCGTTGTTAGTCCATCCCGGACTGAACAGATGATTCAGTTCTGTCGCGCCCGTTGTTGAATGGCCATGGAACCTCTTGCCCCTGGCTCTTGACCATCTCAACCACCTGTCGACACCTGGCCCGTTGCAGCCTTCGCGCCCGACAGCAGCTCCTGCCCCAGCCCGCTGCGCTCCTCCGACCGCTCCATCACCCTCAGTACGGATCCACGAAGGCGCCAGAAGGGCATGCGGCGGAGGGCCTGCAAGACGTTGGCGAGGATGGAGGCCGCGCGGTGGGTGCGTGCGTGCGTGTGCCGGTGTGTCGGTGTGTTGAAAGATGAATGGAAGAAGTTATGGAAGGGCGGCAAAAGCAGTGGTGAGTGAGGACGTCCCCTTTCATTCTATTATATCTAGTTTTCTGTCTAAGGTCCAGTCTTCCATCAGCTTATGGCGTGTCATTTCGGGTTCACGTTTTTCCAATGATGATGTTTTCTGATTGCCGTTGAGGCACCGCGGTACGTAAATGCCTCCGAACCAAAACCTTCTTCCACTGGTCCCTCACTCATCTTGGTCCCCACTGGCCACCCCTCTCACGGAGACATCATGTCATCCTGCCACCATGCATACATACATACACACACACGCAGTCCCAACTACGAGGAGCCGGCGCACCTGCAGAGCCTCCTTGAAGGTGCGGATGGACGCGAGCTCGTGGCGGCCTGGGCAGAATTGGTGGGAACGGCACTGAGGGATACCGCCACGGCGGCGGCTGCGGCGGCTGCCGCCGCAGCTGCCGCCGGCAAGGCGGGCCGCCGGAGAGGCGCTGCTGCTGCGGCCGCTGCTGCAGCGGCAGCAGGCGCTAGCGATGTCGTTGCAGCGGTCCGGGGCAACGGTGGCGGCTCTGGGAGCAAAGGGGATGCTGCAGGGCCGGTTGCGGGGATTGCTGGCAGCGGTGGTGGCAGTGGCGGCGGCGGGGGGGCATGTACAGGCGGCGGGGTCTCGCCGGTGGGCTCGGAGGCAGCGGCGGTTGCGGCGGCGGCAGCTGCGTCTGTGAAGCACCTGCTGCAGCGCGTTCACACTGACTTAGGCGGGAGGAGCAAGGTACGGTAGTACTTTGCAGTACTTTACAATGCTTTACAGTACTTTACAAGGCTTTACAGTGCTTTGCAGTACTTCACAGTGTTTTGCGGTACGGTACGGGGGGTTCTTTAGCAGTGGGCGTTGAGCCCGAGCGATTGCACAAAACGCAGGGTAGCCCGCCACGAGCTGCGAGCTGCGCCACCAGGCAACACCGGGCCGCATTGCAGCTTCGTGACAACGGTGCTCTCATCTCTCATCAGATCAGAGCTCACGCATGTCAATGTCGTTGAGAAGTGTGGTCTCCCGCGGCTTCATTCCCTTTGTCGTGATGATTGCGCAGGGCATCGCGCTCCACGCGTCCCGACCTTCCGGCCTTCTGGCGGCGCTGGCAGAGTTGCTGACGACACCGGTGGCGGCCGCGTCTTCCCACCCGCCGCAGACGTCAGTGCAGGTACGGCACATTGCAGGGGGGAGAGAGGGCCAGTTTCTCTCACCAGCCAGGACCATGTCCGGTCCCGTAAAATGCTGTCCGGCGCCCGCCTTACTACCACCACCACCACCACCACCACGTAGAGTCAACCCCCTAGCAAACCCCCGTCCCGAAGAACCGTCCTGCCACTTCAAAAGCATCGTCCCGAACTTAACACGGCCATGCAGTGCCGGCAGCACCGGTGATTCGATCGATCCATTTTTACGTCATCCATTCATCCATTCATTCATTCATCTATTCATCTATTCATTCACTCGCGGTCGCATGCGTCACACATTCACGTGTCGCGGCGTGGCACTTACACCACCACCACCACCACCACCACCACCACTAACGCCACCATTAAAGACACCATTAACGCCACAACCAATTCCAGCATCATCAGCACCGCCTGACCGGGCTCTATGCATCACATGCCCCGCGGCCCCATCCCCCAACACACACCCAGTTGATGGAGCTGTTGGCGCTGTTGGTGACCTCGTCGCCCCACAACACCGCCTGGCTGCTGGCCCGCTGCGGGGCGGGTGCACTGGCGGGTCTGGTGCGGTGCGGCATGCGGGCGCTGGACCGCTACAACGGCCTTGCGGCAGATGAGGTGTGGGAGGAGCCCCCGGAGGCAAGGTACCTGGCGGCGCTGCTGCAGGTGGGTGGGTGGGGAGGATGTGGGGAGTAGGTTACGTGGGGTTTGGCTGGGGTGATGTGTGCTTTTGTGTGTGTGTGTGTGTGTGTGTGTCAGAGAACTCAGCTGCGGAGTAGGAACTAGTAAGAATGACCTAACTAGGGTTTGTGTGCGTGTGCATGTGCATGTGCGCATGTGTGTGTGTGTTTTAGTGTGCGAGAATGTGGGACGGTGTGGGGTGATGTGCGGGGCCGTGGGTCTGTCCCGCATTTGGACGTGCGGGACAGCGGGAGGCTGCGGGACGATGCCTTGTCTTTTCTGCAGTGGCCGTTGCGATAGTGGAAATAGTGGCAGTGCTGGCGCTGGCGCTGGTGCTGGCGCTGGCGCTGGGGGGGTATTGACTGGGTGTTTGACCAGGGTCAGCCCTAATCCTCGGCTGGTTACTTCCGCTCTGATGCTTCCCGGATTTTGTGTGTATGTATGTATGTAAGCAGACTCTGGCGTGCTTGTGTCGGACGCCCTTTGCGGACCAGCAATCCCTGCACGCGCAGCAGGAGGAGCTCGTGGCGTATGTGGTGGCATGCGGCCTCATACACAGGTACGTTACCCGACCCCCTTTCCGGAAGCTGCTTCCTTGGCTTGGCGTATCTTTCCCAGCCGCCTCCCCCCTTCTTTACCCCAGATTGTCAGGTAAGGGGAACAGAGAGGGGGGGAAAGAAGAAGCTCCGTACTTGCGACTAAAATGTGGCTGGGCACAACGTCAGGCCACGGGGGCCGGGGGAAAGGTGGTCTGGGCAGGACAAGGGGCCCGAGCAGAGGAGTCCCGGCATGGTACCGGCCTTGCTGCTGCTGCTGCTGCTGCTGCTGCTGCTGCTGCTGCAGCTACACGTGGCAGCGCCCGCGGAGGCTCATAGCCACGTGCACAATTGCCTGCTCCGTGTCTCCCGTGCCTCATCTACACCGTCCCTACTGGCCCCGTCCCAATTGACGGCGGCTCCTCCCTGTCCTTGCCCCTGTCACTTGCCCCTGTCACTTGCCCCTGTCACTTGCCCCTGTCACTTGCCCCTGTCCTTGCCCCTGTCCTGTCCTGTCGTTGCCCCGGCCTCCTGCGGCCCAGGTCCACGGAGCTGTTCAGTTTGTTCGACCAGCCTGCCGCCAACGACACCGCCCCCATACCCGGATATGTGCTCCAGTGCCTGGCTCTGCTGGAGGCTATCACAGGTCGTACACATGTTGTGATGCCGATAACGCACACCTGCAGATGATATGTGTACAATATATGTACATACACACATATGACACGCATATACATATGATGTATATATAGCCCCGCCCGCAGCCCACAGCACCCCTATGTGTCATATGTATATGCGTACATGTTGTGTCGAGGGGGTAGGTGCTGTGGGCGGGGGGTGGGGCTGGGGACTTATATACAAGAGTCCAGTAAGCTGCCGGCGTGTGTGCGAGTAGGGAGGGGGGGAAGAAGAGATGGCGATCGTCAATGAGGCCACACTTCATGATTGCTAGGAAGGATGGGAAGAATGGGCAGGAGAGTGCGGCCTCGTGTCGTGAGGAGCGCGCGCGCCCGCCTCCTACGGCTTCTTTGGACCCCATATCCATACACACTTTAGCATTCATTTGCACCATTCTCACCCACACCCACACCCACACCCACATCATTCGCGATCTCCGGACGGAATAAAATGCGCAGGAGGGCCCCGGCGCCGCTCCCCCGCTGGTGGACTCACGATTCAGAAGCGCTGGCTGCCGGCCGCTGCCAACGGCGCCGCCATAGCGCTGGCTTTCCAGGTACGGCAGTCTACGGCGCCGTACGAACGGCGGCGCAGCGTGTGCGATGCGCGTGGTATGCTTCGCCTCTCCGTTTTGCTGGTCTCTGCTTTCGTTCTCTTTCTCATCAGTCTCGAAGCGCGGTCGTCGACGAAACGCCCCCCTTAGAAACCATCCTCTACATCATGCGTCGCGCTTCTGCACCGTGAGTGCCCCCGTCATGCCACCCACGGGATGAGCTATCCCCTTCCCGCTTTCCACTCCACTTCCACCCCACTTTCACTCCATTTCCACTTCCACTCCACTTCCACTCCACTCCGCTCCCCGTATTTCTTTTCGACCATCGTCCGTGCTTCGTCGTAACCCCCCCCCCCCAAAACCCCCGCACCGGCCACACAACACTCGCAGGAGACCTCCATGGCCGGTTTGCCGTCGCTGCTCACCGCGGTGCTGCTCCGTGCGGCGCCCAGCTGCACCCCCGCGGAGGCGCGGCCTGAGCGGTTGCCGCCCAACTTCGTGGAGGCGGCGGCGTGCGTCATGCGGGTGCTCAACAACATCGCCAGGTGTGTGTGCGGTGTGGGGTGTGTGTTGCGTGTGCCTCCTTGCGTTGGCGGGTTTTGGGGCGTGTTCTCTTTTGCATTGGGGGAGGTAATATCGCTGCTAGGCTTTTCTATGTGCGTATTTAATAACGCCGAAGTGGAAATCACGTTATATTTCGCAAAGAGGGGATGAGAAGGGATGGGAAGTTTGGTATTAGGAAAGCACCCGTCCCCATGGGAATATTCGACCTTGGTGTACCCGGACGTCGTGACGCGGATCCTCATGCGGATCCCCTGTACGAACAGGTTGGACCTGGTGGCAGCACAGAGTAGCCTGGGCGCCTCAGATTTACGGGTCGTGTTCTTCCACTTGGTGGGCTTCCTGTTGTCGTA